GCTGTTCATTTATTTCCGTTGCAGTACACGGAATTCTGTTACGTATGATGAAATGCCCTCTTTATAATATTTACTGTAATCTGCTGTTTGGACAGATATAAGCATATAGAAATGAGCGCTGAACATGAGGAAATCCTTAGCCCGAATTATAGGAATGTTACTAGAATTATGGTGTCATAATCTAACTCAGGAATTATTAAAACAAAATCAAAACAATATGCATAAGACAAGGTCGGAGTAAGTACGATCAATCATTATGCAAGATTAATGACTCATTGAACCGTCACTAAACTTGTAACGTTCATTTGTTGTGGCCATAGGAGATCGAGTATCGGGCAATTCATAATCATTTGCATCATATTAAGCTTTATGCTATAGATAGTGAATGTTGCGTGACTCTATAATCGTTCGTCACTGTATATTTGCAGAAATTAGGTTACACTACATTGTCATTGGAACGTTAGTGACTATAATCTGTTCTACTCAGCAAAGAATTCTGGTTTACTGTACAACTGTAATCGATGAGTCTTTCTCTCAACTAAGAAGATATGCATAACAATTTGATTTTTTTTAAAAGAACGATATAAATTTTTGAATAATAGTATTTTGGTTTAGGAATTGTAAGTATAGACTAGTAATTATACAGACCTCTGGATAACTCATAATAGGTCTTTCAAAACGCACGAGAATCTGAGACCCATAGCAGCTATCATACACAATTGTAAGTAGAAAAGCATTCGTTTTTATAAACATTTGATCTTATAGAACACAGCCAGTTATCGTTATGATTTTAGCAAAAAGTAATAACTATATAAGTTATCCAATATTCTATTCATATTTTAATCCTATTGAGTAGGTGCGGGAGGATTTTGGCAAACATATTACAACTTGATTGTTACCATTAACATGCAGCTAATGAATGAAAGATGGGAATCTTGTAAGTTTTAGATACTAAGCTAATCGATATTACGTAAATGCGTCGCTGTTCTAGAGATGCAGGAGACTATCCTTTAGAAACATTTGTTGTCAGTCTTAATCCTTACACTGATATTTCCATTGTTATATTTAAAAGCATATTTCAAATGGCAAGAAATGATGTGTAATTTACAAGAATGATACTCTCTTCTTGTATTAGCTAACTATTGCATTATATTCATTTTTCACGAAACGCTTTTGTTATATTAAGCTGATATGTCACGAGAGTCTGAAAAACACGATTTATTCAACATAATTCTAAAAATTACGCTATTATTCTGCAACTTTATATATCTGATAAGTATATATTTTTTGACTGAAAGAAAAATTTTAATTAATAAAATCTTAGTTATGTTATATTAATTATATAACAGACTAGTTTAATACAGGTTTACATAAAGAATTGTCTATGTGAACTGTCTTTAGATTAGGATATATAAAAGAATTGTAACCAGATGGCTCTAGGGATAGTTAGCTGTGTATACCCATGTAAATTTAGTAATTACGTTAAAGTAATGTAGGTGTCAATATTAATCCACCGTAGCTACGGCTCTGCTTGTTTGGAAATAACTTATTACAAACAGTCCTTGAATACGAAATTTCCTTGAAATCTGCTTTTCTGTTCGGCGCAGGATTCCATATACTGACTGATAAACCAAGCCAGGCCACGTTTGCCTGATAGTAGGTATGGTCAAGTCAATCAACTAAACATTCAATTCTCATAAATATTTTCAGAATTTATGAGTTAAATGATAATTATTATGGTTTCTGAAGTATTAAGTAACCCAAATTACATAATGACATAGTCCTTATCTCACACTTGAAAACAAGATAGAAAAGCTGCCAACTTAATGAAAACAGTTTCATCTTTAGCAAAATCGCATTTATGGGTGATTCGACAGACTTATGTCAAAATGTCCAAACATTTTGCAATAAGTCTGAATTACTGACGCCCGTTAAAGGAAGCGCTATTAGTAGGGCTACAGGGACATAATAGAGAGTGCGTACAACGCATTTTCTATTACCAGAATATCATTATGTTTTGCATAATGATATTCTGGTACGTTATCTTAGGCTAGTATATTTAACGTGCTAACGTCGCTAGCACGTTAAAATCTTAGGTTCTCAGGTTTATACGATGGTCAGGATTTATCTCAATCACCTTATACATAAAATTTTAGAATGTAAAAAATTTAATTAAAACTGTTATTATAATTATTAGAAGGAAGAAAGTTATCGACAAACACGAAAAGTCTTAACGTTAATACCTTTAAGAAAAGCCGATAAGAATTAAGTTTCAGAAAACGATCCAATATCTTATTCAAAATTAATCAATCTTGTCATTGCATTCCTATGTATTGATCACTTTCTGATAAATGTTTCTTAGGTTCTACTGTTTTATATAGGACAATCGATTTTATTTAATAAGTTAAAATTTCGAAATTTTAAGAAACAAAAAACTGTTTTTAACATTTTTTTTTATTTACAATAAGTATTAAACATTGTAAAATAAAAAAATTTCATTAATATCCAAACCTAGGCTGTAGATTCGGGGGAATTTTGACAGTCTAACCGCTCCCATTTGGACAGATTTAAGAAATTAATTACAATTAAAACAATGTATGTATAGGCTATAACAATTATTTTGTACCCATTCAGTTCTTCCTTAATCTATTTACTGTAATTGTATTACTTTATACACCTAAAAATTAATAATTATTATTACGATATAAAAAAGGAATATTTTATTTAAACCTTCACTTTTTTTAAGAATTCTGCCCACGGTCCTGATCCAACTATTATTTTTCGTTACGTTAATATAGAAAATAAAACTTTTGAAGTATGTTTTTAGCTTTAATTACATTAATTTTAATAATTTTATTTTTATATTTTACAATTTTATGATTTTTCTACTTTTCTTGAAAATTACTTTATGAGTTTGTTTAGTTATTATTAAAATAAATTGATGAAATTTTTGAATTATCTAAATCGAAAATTTTATGGATTTAACTTCAGAGAGAATTTACCTTTTCTCTGTAAAAAAANATTAAATTATTATTTTAAATAGCTTAAAATAACGATGTAAATTAAGTAATGAATGTTAAAAATATTAAAATCTTTTAAGTTAATAATGATACATTAAAATAGTTTAAAATTAAAAATAAAATAGCTGACAGAAAAAAATTAATGAAAAGATAACTTTTTATAATATAATTGTTAGATAAATTAATAATTTCAGGTTGCTTTCATAACAAAATCCTTCGAAATAAATATGTGAAAAACTCTTGAATCCTTGGAAAAACAAGGCCATCCATAAATTACATGTTATGTACAGTTTAATGGAGAAGGGGTCGCGTAAAGTATATAATTGAAGGGAGAGCGATGGGAAATACGATTAAACATCACAGAACATATTTTCTTTTCTGAGTGTTAGTCAGCGGCGCGTTATCCTATGGACGAAAAGTGCAATTGGTCAAAAGTCCACTATTGGTAAGGTCCCCCCAAACTAATTCTTCATAAGAAAATATTTTTCTAAAAAATTCTCCCGAAGAAAAATGAAGTCAACATTATTCATGGGGTATCCTAATTCAAATTTACTTGGACCCCATGAAGCAATCGGTAAAACGCGCTATTGGTGTTAGTTTGAATATGGATTGTTCTACATTCTACATGCAAACTAAAAAAAACATCCAATGCTTTTACTTATTGAATACGTAATTTTTAATGGATAATAATAATAATAATCAGGATCCATTAATTATTATTAATTTAACCTGAAGTTAATAATCCAAGATTATACTCGTTTAATGTGTTAGTTATTAATAATAATAATCTCCAGAATCTATTTTCTTAAATATCAAATCTATTCTCTAAAATATTTTGTAAGATTATTACAAACCATTCATTACTATTATAATTCATTTAAAAATAAATTGTAGAATTGTAGAAAGAAATAAATTGTAATAAAAATAAATTGTGGGAATGTTGTAGAATACAATACATTATATTATAGTATTAAAATATTACTAAAATTTCCATCAAATTAAAAATTGTAGTAGGTAATTTGCGTCTATGTATAAAATCAGAATGAAAGAAAGCTTGTTGCAATGCTTTATCGCTTAATTTTATATACAGTATATTTAAATTTTACTTTCTGGAATAACTTTAAGTCTGACTTACCTAAAAATGTAAATAGATTTATAATCATTAAAGTAATTATCTTCCAGTATTACATTATTATTATTATTAACTAAACTTTGTAATAAAGATTTAAGCTTATGAAATGTTTTGTGAACATATATTTATTATTTGGAGCTACATATTTAAAATATAATAATAAAAAAACAATAAGTTAAACACGACGTTTACGACTTTCTAAGTTTTAAATTGTAGTTTTTTATTGATAGTTTATCTCTGTTTAATGGAAAACAATCTTGTTAAAATTTATATTATAATCGACAGACCGAAAACAACGCATTATCCTATAACGATTTTGTTTGAAAAGTTGCCTCACAAGTAAATAAACATGTTTATTTTATTATTAATTGCAACCCTCTTAGATTGTTGTGACAGAAGCGAACAACCAACTGCAAAATTAAAGTGAATATGCACTTTAATTTTGCAGTATATTAATCCATAAAGCAATTTCCTAAGCAAATTACAATCTAAATAAAAATAAAAGAAAAAAACGCATTATGTTTTGGATCTCTGTTATAATTCAAATTTTAATCATTATTTCTATTTTTAATCAAATAAATGATAATAAATAATTTTTTTAATTGAAAAGAAAAGGTTTAAATAGAGAAAGTTAAAATATAAAATAATTTAAAAATACAGTATTGACTAAATTATCTTATCCTGTACAGTTACAGCAAAATAGAATACGCTAATTTAAATGTATATAAATCTACTACTATGACTTATAATAGATCTATTTATAGATTTTATTAATTATATTATACGAATTTTAGTAGAAATAAATAAAAGATATTTCTAATAAAGCTTTTATTTGATGTTTATTAAAGAATGACTGAAATAAGACAAATTGCATTGCTTCCTGCGGGATGTCAACCTTGGAACAGAAGTGTGGTGGCAATGAAAGGTCGGCGATTTGCCTACGGTGCTACATTAGCTATTTACATTTATGAAGTAAGCATTAAAAAATTTGAATTAACATTTTTAATTAACAAAATATTTAATACTTAATTACAATTTAACTTTTACTATTGTTTTCTTCAAATAAACTTAAATAACGTTTATAAACTTAAAAACGTTCTAACTAAATAAAAGATTCAACTAGCCCAGTGTTGAGAAAAACGTCACTTCATTGTGCCAGTACACAATAGTAATTATTTATTTATTTTTAAAGTGAATAGAATTAGAAGAATGTTGTTTTCATCACATGAATCAGAAAGTCAAAACCTCGCTACGTATTCGACAAAATATATATATGGTGTCATAAAATATTGCCGAATCACTGACTCTTCTTTCGTTGAGAAAGACATCGTCACCAATGTCATCTATTACAATACGCTGAAATTGTAAAGTACTTTAAATTCAAGAAATAAATCTACAAGTCATATTCTAACAAGATCATAGCGATATTACAGTTTGCACACTTCGCAATTTCTGAACACGATTTTCTTTGATGGTGTTTTCATTTGCATGATCTCCAAGATCTATAAATTTTACGTCAACGGATTTAAGTAGTAATTTTATTGATAATGCACTATATATTTAGGCTTCATATGAATCAGTTTAAAATATTGTTTTTCACTCTATAATAACTTATAAAAATTTTAACTTGCAAAGATATAAGAAACTGATTCTTAAATATTCTTTGTTTCGATGTGATACTATGGAGCGCCACGATGCCAACTCGAAAGGACTAGAACCACCAGTTTGGCTCTCAATAATACGTGTTGTCGGACCGAAAAAGTTTTTATCCTTCAACTTTTTGAAGGACCGGCACACTTAGAATATTATTGGGGCGAATTCCTATCCCTTAGAGTTGGCGCCCATGTAGCGTTTAATTAATAATTACAATTAATGGTCACCGATGAAGTGAAATGATTTATTTATTTGGACTATTTTCGTTTAAATTTTCTTGCCTTTGGGCACTAACAGGCTTACGAAGTAAAATAAAAGCACGTAGAATTCTGAAAGAAATCGATTTATGCATGAGACCATCGTTATATGCACGTGCATCGAATCTGATAGGAAGTTTGATGCGTTTAAATACCTCTTATTTTATGTGTTGATAAGATAATAGTCGAATGGAGAATTAGAGCGATTTTAAGAGTGAAATATTTGACTTATATTTTTTGCCTTTTCTCAGCATTGTCTCTGTCTCTTCTGGTCACACAACTAGAAAAAAGAATTGGACATAAAATACAAAACGAAAAAGCATCTCGAGCTCTTTGGGCTTGCTTCTCTGTTATGTATTTAATATGCAGTATATTCTATTCAATGAGCATTACGAAGAAATTTGTTTAATTACATTGCCTATAATGTTTTTGGTATAACAACTAATTCTGATTGAGTTTATATAAGTTTAGATTTAATAAGTTAAAATTTCGAAATTTTAAGAAACAAAAAACTGTTTTTAACATTTTTTTTTANATGAGATAAACTGTACAATGTGACAGCTGTATTATATACAGAAATTGTATTATTTCAATACAATATATTACAATACAATATAATACAATAAATTTCTCGGAAGTCTTTTGAAAGTGGAAAATATTTCTTAAAATTTAAAAGTTAGAAATTCTATATTTTATATTAAATTAAAAATTTAAATATGGAAAAATTTATGTAATCTATTATTATATTATTATTATTATATAATTTATATAGATTACATCAACGTAATCAATAGAATAATTTTAAAAATACGATTTTGTATAGATAATATCGAGATTTAATATATTAAATTTAACAATATATAGAAACTAGTATATAAATATTATTTCATACTTTCTGATTCACCCTATTTATCCAGTATCCTACTTGGATTTTCTCTCTTCTTTCTTATTCTCTTTCCCATTTCCTCACTCTCTTCCTTTCTTCATCCTAGCTAGAGCCTTGAGTAGATTCTACTTCTAATAATAATAATACGATTTTTATAATTTAATAAAATAATATAAAATCAATTTTTTAAAAATAATAATATATAATGTACATAAATTATTAAATAAAAATATATTTCTTTTTATCGGACAATTTTATTTTTATTTTTCTAGATGGATAATAAAACTCATAACTTTTATCTACATTCGATTATGTCGGAGCATAAAAAAGTTATTACAGCACTCGATTGGCACCCGAGAGATATTGATTTACTAGCAAGTGCTAGTATAGATCCTTGTATCTGTATATGGAATATTGCACAGCATTCTTTAATTACTCTTCTGAATACTTCACCGACTATACCGTCTATTATCTCTTGGCTACCGGGTCACGAAAATGTATTGGTTTATTTAGAACATAAAGGACCACTCTACTGTTGGAAATTTAGAAATTATGACGGAAATATTCAAACCGAAAGTATATATAACATGAAGGAATATCCTCCGTTTAACAGTAAAATTACATGTTTGGCCTTATGCAAATCTGAAAAATTAAATATGGCATTCGGTCATGAAGACGGTACCGTTTCTATATATGTAAAAGGTAAATTTATGTATATATATATATTTGATTGTAAATTAATATTTTATGTTAAATGTCGATAAATTATTTCGTTAAATTTAATTTTAAAATCTTATTATTTTAATTATATTCTTATTAAACAGATAATTTATCTTTCATGATAAAATTGTAAAAGTTTAATAGTTTTATAATAAAACACACTAAACTATTCCTTTTAATATACTAGAATTATATTCATAAATCTTCCTAAAATCTTTCAGAAGTTTTTTTATATATATGAGATTTTTTACAATTATAGAAATTAAACTAAACATGGACACATACTCTTATTTTACACTTATAATTTCTTTCTATATCGTAAAACTGTTTATAATATTAGATTTTATTTAATAAATTTTATTGCTTTTAGAATTTATTTTGAATTTTTATACGATTTATGTTGTAATTTTTACCTAAATGATGAAATTACTTTTAACGTAAAATTTACATAAAAATTAAACAAGAAGTAAACTTTTTAATGATACTATTTAATGCTTATTTTACACATTTCTAACTTTTATATTAAATCTGCAAATTTTAATCTGATGTTTTAGGATTTAAAAAAAAAAAAAAACATTATCCTTTAATTTCGAATTAATTTATATTCATTGATTCATTTTATTTATTGATTTATTTTTGTTTCTAAATCAGAGATGAAATTAAAAAATAATTAATAATTCATTAAATTTGTGGCATAAAAAATATTTTTAAAAGCTTATCACTAAATATTTCGATAAAACGGCATTCAGTTTTTCCTGTATAATGCAATTTTTATAGCGAATTTTTGTTTAATTTCAGATAAAAAGCCACAGAGACATATCAATATTCAATCTCAGGGAAACGAACAAGAAAAGAGTAACGATGAGTCGAGTTCGATTACATCTTTGCAGTGGGACCCATTATCTTCTCATTACATCCTTGTAGCATGCGGATGTAATTATTTATATTTATTGGATACAAGTAACGAAGTCGTAAATGTTGTATCGACATATTCGTCTCCGAGTAAAGCTGTATCAATTGCCTCAATCGCTTGGCTTCCCGAAGTGCCAGGATCTTTTGTATCAGCAGGTAAAATATTATATTACAGTTTTTCATCATTTTTATTTCATTCTAAACTTTATCTAATCTTATTTAATTTTAAATAAAATATAAAAATTATACTGTAAATTCATTAAGGAATGTATATTTCTTAAATTATGACATTTATTTTTCAGTATTGTATATGTGGACTTTTATGAATAGCATTTAAATGGTTAAATTAATGAAAATTGTTATATATGTATGTAAATTTCTAGTCTATATTAATTTATATAAATAAAATATAGGCTAATAAAAATAAATAAAAATACTATTTTGATATTTTCTAATATCTAATAATTAAAAAAATTACATAAATAAATGATTAAGCTATATAAGTAAGCCTACATATTTTAAAAATCCAAATCCAAAAGTATTCATATTAAAATTTAGACTAATTGAAACATTGAATAATCTTTTAAAACTTAAATTTTTTATAATAAGATTAATATTAAAAAAAAAACAAAATTTATTGGTCTCGTATCTTTCACTACAGTGCATTTACATATACACACATCATGATTAAATTCTATACTGTACTTGATTATATTTATCGGATTTCGGTGTGGGAAGAATGGTAGGGATGGGATCATTCCTAAAACCTCATTAAAACGTATTGTCATCGGACTTAGATAGCCTCCTATCTTAATTAAAAGTAAATGAAATTTGAGTTTTAAGATTTGAGAACAAAGCAAGTTAAATAAAAGCGTTTAATAATAGAAAGAACAAAGAATGAAATTTTGAGTTGAAAGAATGTATGTTAATGTTTAAACTAATAAACATAGATTAATAGGTAAATGGATTTACTAGACAACATAAAAAATATTTTAAAATCCTTTAAACAGAATTTATACCTGTTATAACTTTTTTTTTACCAAGAAAAAATATATTTATTTTATTATTAATCTGTTATATATATTATTTTATTTTGCTTTGTTTCTGACCTTATATTTTACGCATTGAACTTTCAGTTGCTCCAGAAAAAAACGGAGATAAAAATATTTGTTGTTAAAATGTTTTAAAAATATTTGAAAATTTATTAGAAAACTTTGCGTGTGAATTTGAATTCTATTTATAATATTTTATTTCACTTTTTAAATTCACATTAAAAAGTGAAACACGTAAAATATTTTGCAATAACAAATAAAAGAAATTAAAATATCAGGAGAATAAAACGTATTAAAATTAAAATAAAAAGTGCTGTCAAAAATCTGTGCATTTACTAATAAATTTAGATTTCAATATAATATATGCAACTATGTATGATAATGAAATTAAATTTCATATAAATTTAAACATTTTAAGTTAAATTTAAACCATACACCCTACTCATTTCGATTGATATGAAACAGCGTTTTTCCTCTCTCCTTCTCATCCTCGTGAATATTTTTAAGTGAAAAATAACATAATTTAATCTATTTAATGGTTATTATTGTATATAATAATACTTGTAATATAATAAGAATAAAATTTTTTAAACCATATTTAACTTTTAATTTCTGCTTTTATTATTTTTGAAGATTTTATCGATAATTCTTTAATCTTTTTGTTAAAAATTCTTATATTTAATAGAGTTTCTATTTTTGAATATCATTACTGTATATAATTTCTCGATATCTGTTGAATATTTGAAATTTGAATAAACTGCATAAATTAATTTTTAAATATCCTTATTAATCCAAGAACAATAACCATTGTTTTGATAATTATTATTTAAGAATATTTTGCATTTAAACTATTTATGTTACTATGAAAAAAATTTTTGAACCTGTTCAAGGATATGACTTAATTAAATTAATTAATTAATCATTCAACGAAATTCAATAATATTTTTTAGCCTTTTTACGATGTTTCTACTTTACAAAAAGATTTACTAATGATTTTGCGAAGAAGCAAGAATGATTTGTTCAACATTATGTTATTATGTTAATTTTAATTTTTAATTATATATTTTAGATATAACCATATCTAAGATAGGACCATATTAAAAATATGTGTTCGTATCAAATGAAAATATAACATGTTTATCAATAGTCTACAACCAAATGATTTAATTTATGAAACATAGACATGGAATTATTTCAAATTATTACAAAAAATACTATTGCATATTGTAAAAATTATTGGAACTGAAGTAATCAAATTTGATTATACTAGCTTCAATAAATAGCGGTTTTAATTATTTGCATAATTTGTTAGTATTGACGGAATGTATAGTCTAATATAATTTAATTAAGATCTAATAAGAACACTTGAACTAGCAATTTTCTTATTCGAAAACTTCTATAATATAATACTAAATTTAATAAATATTGTAATAAATTATATTAAAATTACAAATGAAATTTGAGAAAGTATTTGTATGTTTATGTAAAAAATTTAATTAAAACTGTTATTATAATTATTAGAAGGAAGAAAGTTATCGACAAACACGAAAAGTCTTAACGTTAATACCTTTAAGAAAAGCCGATAAGAATTAAGTTTCAGAAAACGATCCAATATCTTATTCAAAATTAATCAATCTTGTCATTGCATTCCTATGTATTGATCACTTTCTGATAAATGTTTCTTAGGTTCTACTGTTTTATATAGGACAATCGATTTTATTTAATAAGTTAAAATTTCGAAATTTTAAGAAACAAAAAACTGTTTTTAACATTTTTTTTTATTTACAATAAGTATTAAACATTGTAAAATAAAAAAATTTCATTAATATCCAAACCTAGGCTGTAGATTCGGGGGAATTTTGACAGTCTAACCGCTCCCATTTGGATTAAAATTTAGACTAATTGAAACATTGAATAATCTTTTAAAACTTAAATTTTTTATAATAAGATTAATATTAAAAAAAAAACAAAATTTATTGGTCTCGTATCTTTCACTACAGTGCATTTACATATACACACATCATGATTAAATTCTATACTGTACTTGATTATATTTATCGGATTTCGGTGTGGGAAGAATGGTAGGGATGGGGTCATTCCTAAAACCTCATTAAAACGTATTGTCATCGGACTTAGATAGCCTCCTATCTTAATTAAAAGTAAATGAAATTTGAGTTTTAAGATTTGAGAACAAAGCAAGTTAAATAAAAGCGTTTAATAATAGAAAGAACAAAGAATGAAATTTTGAGTTGAAAGAATGTATGTTAATGTTTAAACTAATAAGCATAGATTAATAGGTAAATGGATTTACTAGACAACATAAAAAATATTTTAAAATCCTTTAAACAGAATTTATACCTGTTATAACTTTTTTTTTACCAAGAAAAAATNTTGAGAGTAAGAAACTTTCTAATCGTTAAATTTGAAAATCTTTTTATTTTTTCACTTTTGGATATTATAATATTTTTCCTTTATTTCTTAGAGCAGTAAGTGTTATATTGTAAAAGTACTAAATAATAAATATTACTAATTTAAATTTTAATTTAGTTCCGCCATTATGCAAACCAGTTAGAATTCAAGAAAGAATGGATATACAGTATTTCAAATTTATTTATTTATTTTTAAAGTGAATAGAATTAGAAGAATGTTGTTTTCATCACATGAATCAGAAAGTCAAAACCTCGCTACGTATTCGACAAAATATATATATGGTGTCATAAAATATTGCCGAATCACTGACTCTTCTTTCGTTGAGAAAGACATCGTCACCAATGTCATCTATTACAATACGCTGAAATTGTAAAGTACTTTAAATTCAAGAAATAAATCTACAAGTCATATTCTAACAAGATCATAGCGATATTACAGTTTGCACACTTCGCAATTTCTGAACACGATTTTCTTTGATGGTGTTTTCATTTGCATGATCTCCAAGATCTATAAATTTTACGTCAACGGATTTAAGTAGTAATTTTATTGATAATGCACTATATATTTAGGCTTCATATGAATCAGTTTAAAATATTGTTTTTCACTCTATAATAACTTATAAAAATTTTAACTTGCAAAGATATAAGAAACTGATTCTTAAATATTCTTTGTTTCGATGTGATACTATGGAGCGCCACGATGCCAACTCGAAAGGACTAGAACCACCAGTTTGGCTCTCAATAATACGTGTTGTCGGACCGAAAAAGTTTTTATCCTTCAACTTTTTGAAGGACCGGCACACTTAGAATATTATTGGGGCGAATTCCTATCCCTTAGAGTTGGCGCCCATGTAGCGTTTAATTAATAATTACAATTAATGGTCACCGATGAAGTGAAATGATTTATTTATTTGGACTATTTTCGTTTAAATTTTCTTGCCTTTGGGCACTAACAGGCTTACGAAGTAAAATAAAAGCACGTAGAATTCTGAAAGAAATCGATTTATGCATGAGACCATCGTTATATGCACGTGCATCGAATCTGATAGGAAGTTTGATGCGTTTAAATACCTCTTATTTTATGTGTTGATAAGATAATAGTCGAATGGAGAATTAGAGCGATTTTAAGAGTGAAATATTTGACTTATATTTTTTGCCTTTTCTCAGCATTGTCTCTGTCTCTTCTGGTCACACAACTAGAAAAAAGAATTGGACATAAAATACAAAACGAAAAAGCATCTCGAGCTCTTTGGGCTTGCTTCTCTGTTATGTATTTAATATGCAGTATATTCTATTCAATGAGCATTACGAAGAAATTTGTTTAATTACATTGCCTATAATGTTTTTGGTATAACAACTAATTCTGATTGAGTTTATATAAGTTTAGACTAATTCGTATATTTATTTTATACTCTTAAATATACCAAGTTATGCTCCTCATATTTTTGTCCTCCAATATGGATAAATTAATATTCAAATTATTTAATTTTACAATTTATTTTCTACAGATATCTTTGAGATGTTTTAAATTCAGCTTTTCTTTTGATATAATTAAATGAATTCTATTACTTAATTAATTTGCAATCCTCTTAACTCAATGTTTTGAGAAATAAACAGTAAAATGAAGCTATAGTTCACTGTAAATAGAATATTTTGAATACCCATAAAAATGAAGCCATTTATAATTCATTATTCTGAAAAACCAAAGTATAAACCTTAAATTATAGAAACTACCTATTTACAGAAAGATACCAGATAGAGAATTTTTAGTTCCAGATCAACATTTAGCATAAATTTTTCTAAAATAGAATTTCGCATATTGGTAAAGGATATTGATTTGGTTTCTTTCAAATTTAAGTACATATCTCAGGTCTATATCTCTGTTTCTTTCTTAAAATGGATATGAAATCTATATACATTAATTACATTGTATGGAATTACAATAAATACATTAATTGTATTGTATATGTAGACTATATACAATATATAAGCTTATACATACATTTTTACTTTGGGGCTTTATTAAATAATCATTTAATAAAAATCCAAATAACATATAGAGTTTACTGCATAATTTCTTAACATTTATTAATTTCTGATATTTCTCGAATTTATAGAATATATTATAGAATATTGTAAATAAAAAAATATTTAGATTGCCTTTATAATTCACGTAGAAATAATCTTTGAACAGTTTATTATATGCTAATGAATTTTATCTTTAGAATCTTAATTAAATTTTCCATTTCAGATGTTGATGTTGGAATTTTAAGAATATGGAATGTTTCAAAGTGTACACCATTAGAAAATATACGTTTAAAACAAACTGGTTTTTTGACTTTTTGTGTTTTACCAGCTAAAAAGCCCAACAAAATGATCAAAACATCAGATAATTCTCATTTTGGAGATATATTATCAAGTGGCAGTAAATTTCTTGCTAGAATTATTTGCTTGTTTTTGGATGGAGGAGTTGGAGTATATGATTTGAGTCGATATTCGTGGGATTTCTGCAGAGAAATGGTAAGTTTAAAAATACTGTAATATACTGTAGTTTAAAAAAAGTAACATTACACTAAATGAAAAAATATAATGCAGAAAACATGCATGTTAGTGTTCATGTAAATATAAAAAGTAGTCTATTCTTTTGAAATTTGTTGTACATATAAATTTATTTCACTTGAGTTTAGTATATATTTATCTAAATACTTTATGAAGGTAATTTTAAGTAAAACACCTATAAATATTTCCATATTGAAATAAAACAGTTTAATTATTTATATTTACATAAATTTAAAAAGAAAATTCAAAATTAGAAAATTTTCACAAATCATACATTTCCTTAACAAAAATGTTTATGTATTGCATTAATTTTAATAATTTTTACATATGGCATTCTTTGGAATGTGGACAACATTATAATTTAGAATAGTTTTAATAATCATATTTCTAAACCATTAACTTGTAAGGTCCAGGGACCCAGAAACAAATCTAGTCAGGTCAAAACACCCTAGGAATTTTTTGGAAGTGATCCCTCGCAGATATGTTGCGCCCCATCCCTCACTATTTGCCATCCCATTGTAGGCCTAGCCAAAACCATTGTGAGGTAACAGACGGAAGCCGCTTTGAAGGTCCGAAGGTGAACACTCTGTTGAGAAATAAAGAGCTCCATTTTCAGACACGAATAGGGAGATTTAATGTCCTGATTGAACAATGAAAGTTTTTATTAAAACAATAGAAAAGACTAAAGTCGAGGGAAACGTGGCTGGAGAGGAGTCGTATTTAGTCGCGAAACTAACCTCTCCCGCGCCCTCCGATCGGTTTCGAATTGTCACCAGGTGACGAGTAGAGACCAATGAANCAGAAAACATGCATGTTAGTGTTCATGTAAATATAAAAAGTAGTCTATTCTTTTGAAATTTGTTGTACATATAAATTTATTTCACTTGAGTTTAGTATATATTTATCTAAATACTTTATGAAGGTAATTTTAAGTAAAACACCTATAAATATTTCCATATTGAAATAAAACAGTTTAATTATTTATATTTACATAAATTTAAAAAGAAAATTCAAAATTAGAAAATTTTCACAAATCATACATTTCCTTAACAAAAATGTTTATGTATTGCATTAATTTTAATAATTTTTACATATGGCATTCTTTGGAATGTGGACAACATTATAATTTAGAATAGTTTTAATAATCATATTTCTAAACCATTAACTTGTAAGGTCCAGGGACCCAGAAACAAATCTAGTCAGGTCAAAACACCCTAGGAATTTTTTGGAAGTGATCCCTCGCAGATATGTTGCGCCCCATCCCTCACCATTTGCCATCCCATTGTAGGCCTAGCCAAAACCATTGTGAGGTAACAGACGGAAGCCGCTTTGAAGGTCCGAAGGTGAACACTCTGTTGAGAAATAAAGAGCTCCATTTTCAGACACGAATAGGGAGATTTAATGTCCTGATTGAACAATGAAAGTTTTTATTAAAACAATAGAAAAGACTAAAGTCGAGGGAAACGTGGCTGGAGAGGAGTCGTATTTAGTCGCGAAACTAACCTCTCCCGCGCCCTCCGATCGGTTTCGAATTGTCACCAGGTGACGAGTAGAGACCAATGAAAAGGCGGCTTTAAGGGAAAAACTTATAAAACTGCGCTATTCAAGGATGTGACGTTCTCGGTTCTCCACTTCAGGATTTTTGCGATCCTGCAGATCAGCAGCGACAGATTTGTTAATTCCTGGGACTTACCGTCGCTCTCCCGTGAAGTCTTGCTTTGCCTAGATTCGCCCTTCTCCGGAGATTTTCGCCCGAAGCTGTGCCGCACGCCCTGAGGTCGTCGATCGCAACGTACTGTACGACATCAAGAGAACGAAAGAACTTCCAATCGAACGTCGAACTCTTGAATGGATATTTCATTCGCTCCCTGAGCTGTGTTACTTCGCAACTTTGTAAAACGTTGTAAGAAACTTTTGTGTATATAATAAGAGGGTTAAAAGATAGAAACCTGACTCAGTGAGTCTTTCCACTCCTATACGAGTGTTGACCGCTCGATTGCAGTGGCGTAGCGAGGGGGGTGTATCGTGGTCTCCAAGACAAACTATATGTGTTTATGGAGGGGGGAGGGGCGCTAAATAAAGTGTCGTGCCCCGGGCGCCAGTTATGTTCTTTACGCCACTGCTCAATTGTCCTCAGTGGCGTAGCGTAGTGGGGGCAGCGGGGGCGGCCCGCCCCGAGCGGCACTTTTTAGGGGGCGGCAAAATTACCTTTTAGAAGGCGGCAAAATTTCACAATAAATAATAATAATATCTTGTAAAAATTTGAACCATTCTAATCTATATTTGGGTCGCGCCTACGATAGTGATATCGTCCCCTAGTACGGGAATCGGCTCACCGTCCGGGTGAACTAGTAACTTCATCCGAGGATATCCTGCGCGACCTGTTGACTTTTTTTTTTTTTGCTTGTACGATTCATTCGCATTCATATACAGTCGACCCCCCTATAAGATCATTGATTTTTCCGTTTTATCTGAATTACATGTTGTACGAGTCACTTAGACTTTACAAATACGTGTGCCGGGCTGTGAACGGCTCACATATTTGTAAAATCTAAGTGACTCGTACAACATGTAATTCAGATAAAACGGAAAAATCAATGATCTTATAGGGGGGTCGACTGTACACTATCACTATCCAATACAGCTATTTTAAACAGGTCGCTGCACTAGCACGGAATTTTTCATTGCTTGTTCTGCGACAAAAGTGTATTTTAGTCCTTTAAATTGAAATACCTAAATAAGGGGGCAAAATTTTCCTCCGCCCCGGGCGGCTGACACCCACGCTACGCCACTGATTTTCCTCATATTTCCATCCCAGTCGGCTAATCTCACACCCATGATGGGCTTGATATTGATAAAAAGATCNTCGCTCCGAGAACTTCCAACTGAACATCGGACTCTTGAGTGGACATTTCATTCGCTCCGAGAACTTCCAACTGAACATCGGACTCTTGAGTGGACATTTCATTCGCTCCGAGAACTTCCAACTGAACATCGGACTCTTGAGTGGACATTTCATTCGCTCCCTGAGCTGTGTTACTTCGCAACTTTGCAAAACGTTGTAAGAAACTTTTGTGTATATAATAAACGGGTTAAAAGATGGAAACCTGCCTCAGTGAGTCTATCCACTCCCACACGAGTGTTGACCGCTCGATTGCAGTGGCGTAGCGAGGGGGTGCAAGGGGGGTGTATCATGCACCGGGCGCCACTCGCAGAGGGGCGCCCAAATGGTCTCCAAGACAAACTATATGTGTTTATGGAGGGGGGAGGGGCGCTAAATAAGTGTCGTGCCCCGGGCGCCAGTTATGTTCGCTACGCAACTGCTCAATTGTCCTCACATTTCCACCCCAGTCGGCTAATCTCACACCCATGATGGGCTTGATATTGATAAAAAGGTCTTAGTGTCCACAGGTTAGAAAGAATAAACAAAACCCTTAAGTTAAAATGATCTAGAAACTATGTACAGTATGTTAATTTAGTGTTCACATAATAAATTTAAAATTCTTCCATTAAAATTTTTTAATTAAAATTACTATGGAAATATTCTCATAAGTAAATTTACAAAAGTAATTATTAATGTAAATTTTGTTTACAATATGAAAATATCCCTAAAGTAATGTTAAAATTCTTTAAATTATTTTGATATTATTATAGGGTCATACTGAAACAATCTTTGATTGTGAATTCAAACCCAGTAATTGTGATTTATTAGCAACAGCAAGTTATGATGGAACTATTAAAGTATGGAATGTCAACACAATGAAAGCAGTAAGTTATTTTTTCTTAAGTAATTATGTAATAAAATTGTTGAATATAAGTAAAATATTGCAAAATATATATCCACTATACAATGTGTAGCTAATAATATAAAACATCAATATAAGGGTAAGTTAACAATTACATTTAATGTAATTCTAAAATTTATAACTTGATATCGTATGCTCTTTACAATATATTATTTAAATTTTGTTCTTTAATGTTACAATGTTACTTTCAAATATTCTGTAACTGAAAAAGATCAGTAAATTCTGACAGAAAAAGTTACTATTCTAATAAAAACCTCTTGATGGAATTTCAAACATTAGATTTACTTGTTTATCCTTATAAGTTTCCTTATACCTGGTTGCTGGAGGTGTTGGTAAACTTTTTAGTAGAGTTTGTTAACTGCGTAGTAGTGAATTGGAAAAGTGTAAGTGGCTGAAATAGGAGCGATTTAAAGAAGTGGATATTTGTAATAGATTGTCTTTGATTTTAATTATGTTTATTAATAATTGATGGGATTGAATCAAATCCATAACCTTTACTTCGATCTCTGTAACAAACGAGCCAAGTAGATATGCAAAGAAATGGCGTGGAAGACCACGCAAGGATAATGTCCTTTTAGCCTCATGTCAGTGGAGACAAGATATAAAACTGTAGACTGTAAAACATTGTTAGAATAAAGCTCTTTGTTTCAACAAAACATTGAGAAAGTGTAATTGAATGTGAAGATGAATATTTTAATGAATAAAATTATTTTAAACAAAAATTACAAGCATTTTTATTCATATTTCAAAAACTACATTATTTACCTGATATTATAAAATACATAATCATTTTTTTAATGAGAGATTGTTTACTTCCTGTGGAAGACTATCAGTTTATGCTGTTTTTATCTTTAAATAGTATGCAACAGGTTAGTGTTGAGCAGCTTATTATTTAATTGCTATATAGATAATTTTACAAAAATAAAATTTGCAATAATATTTTATGCAGATAATATAAAAATTATTAACAATGATCCAACTACATTACAAGAAGATTTAAACATCTTATTGGGTGGATTAAAGAAACTTACTTTAATTCCAAACTATTGTAAAATGAAGGTTATTTGTTATTCTTTATTAATATCTTCTAGTTTGGTTCCATTTTTGATAATGATACTGATATTAAATTTGTTCAATGTATAAATGATTTATATGTAATATTTTATAGTAAAATGTCTTTTAATCAACATTTTAATAAATTATTAAAGAATCTAGCAATTAGGCATGATATTTTACAGCTAATAGTTTTAAAATCTGCACTAAGATCATTATATTTTTTCAATTTTTAATCAATAATGGATTAGGGTATGTCAATTTGGATGTCCATTACACTATAGCTTTTGTTAAATCTAAATTACATAAGATGTATTTACTACTAAATAAACATGAATCTACTGTACACTAAAAACTCAGAATTTCTTCCTGCCAGGTTGCAAATTCTATTCTTAGAAAATAGGTTGATAGGATGATCTATTTTGATAGATTTATTTATTTTAAAATGTTTAATGACTGACATTAACTCTTTTAAATAATAATGTAAATAATTAAAATGCCTCAATGTCCTTGACTTACTAAAATATAAATTTTCGTCTACAAGTACGTATCTTCTAATATCAGGATTTATTATACTGGCTTTACAGATAATGCTACAGATTTTCACAGAAAACAATTTTTTATTTTATTTAATATACCTGTATATATGTACAGTACAGGTATATTAAATAAAATAAAAAATTGTTTTCTGTGAAACTCTGTAGCATTATCTGTAAAGCCAGTATAATAAGTCCTGATATTAGAAGATACGTACTTGTAGACGAAAATTTATATTTTAATATTGTAAATATTTGTAATCACTCTTTAATTCATATAATGATTTTTTGCTTATCTTTATTCAACCATTTTTTTTTTTTTAATATTTTCCCAGAAATCAGCAACTGTGAAAATTTAATCTATTTTGAATACACAAAATTCAAACAGATTGTAAAAAAAATTTATACAAAACCTATTAGATCATTAAATGGATAAATAGTTTTCACTGTGGTTTGTTTTACTGTGTATTTATTTTTACAGTGTTTTGTTTTTATAGTTTCATTGTTTTATCTATTTATTTGTATTTAATATATATTGTATGTCACAGTATTTTTGTTATAGTTTTTTAAATGTTTTTTTATTATTGTTATTCATTTTCATGGTTTTTTTATATTTATTTAATTAGGATAATGTTTTTGGGCCAGCATTATTTGTCATCAAGACAATGGCCACTTGTATAAATAATAAAAGAATTACTAAAAAACATACTTAAATTTTCAAAATTTGTGACAACAAAAACATGTACCAGTTTATAATGTTATTAGACTGCACTACAAATTATAAGACTGGATTCGATCTGAAGGCCACGGGTTTATATGTAAGAAAAGATGTAAAGAATATAGATGCAAAGAATTATTTTAAAATGTTTATTAAAGTCAAACTTAGAATAATTTTTATATGTTTATAATTATAATATTATAATACAGTATATGTTAATTAAATATAAAATATATTTTTCTACACTATACATGTACAGCAACTTGAAATCATCTAAACTAATCAATATATAATAATGAATTTATATTACTTTGTATTATATTAATTTCTACATAAAGAATTATTAATCAGTTGCTTGTAAATGACTTTTCAGATTGATTCTTCACCTGGTAACATGAGCATAATTTATTCTATTTCTTGGGCTCCTGGTGACTTGAATTCAATTGTTGCTGGTACTTCAAATCAAGGAATCATGATATGGAATTTAGAGAAGAATGTTATTGCTCATAAAATGTTAAGTGTAAGTAATTCTTAAATTAATAGTTAATCACATTTAAAAACTTTTTAAAATATTATTGGTATTTATTTTTATTATTGGTATTTTATATTTTAAATATTATGAATAATAACCACCTCAAATAACAACTGTGTCTACTATTGAAGGATTTCTTAAAACTTAAGCACACAATATAAAGTTAATAAATACTGTAAAACACAGTAGGTAGGTACAATATTTATTTAACAAAAACTTTAATAGAAAATGAGCAATTATTTATTGTGAGCAATGATGGGCTGCAATTTTTCATCACAATGCACTTAAATTTAGTAGTGTTTTGCTCCTGTACATCATACTTTTCCTGTTAAAAATGAAGTCAAGCTGGTCGTGTATCTAACACTATTCAGGAGAAAATTTTTGAACTGAACTAATGTGACTTCCAGTTTACATTGGAAGTTCATATATAGTTAATTGGGGTCTCTTTCCCCTAAGCTGTTCATATCTGGTCTTGGCTTTCAACTATCTAACACCATTCTTGAGATTAAGGAAGGACAGACAAATAGACAGATGGACAACTGTAGGAATTTATAGGTCTACAATTTTTCAAATTGCAGCCCAATGAAATGTATAGTACAATTAAACAGTAGATTGTATTGTTTTGTTATAACTGGTAAATAGAAAATAAATTTCATTATAAAGATAGACACTAGTTGTCATTTCAAATAGTAATAAAATTTGCCTTTAAAAATCAAATTTTCATAAATAAATATTTAAATACTTTAATATTAATGGACATCAAACAAATATGTTCAAATAAAATAATAACTTCTTCAAACAGTAACGACAGAGAAAATGTACAGCTTAAAATAGTAGACACAGCTATTATTTGAATAAAACTGATGCTCAAAATAATTATATAATTTCTGAAAAAATTTATTGTTTATAAAAATATTTAAAATGATCATAAATGTAGTTAAATCTTATTACTAATTTTTTAAATTTTCAATAAACATAATACTTATTAAAACTCATTAAGATCTTTTTAATGATTTCAAATAAACTTTTGTTTTCTTCCATATTAATATTTTACTTATAAAAATGTTCATTAAACAGGTTTCAAAAATGAAATAATTTTATTATTTTAAATATATTTTATCACTTATATTCTTTAATTAGTATGCATATTTTAAATGCAAAACTTTTTTATAAAGTGACTTTAAATAGAAAAAACAACAAGAAAAAATTTAGTATACTGTACTACAATGAATAAAAAGTTATTTTTAAGTTAATTTTAATATAAATCTGATAAATTTATTAAAATGGTCTTTAGTATTTGTTTTGAGAATTCTAATGATTGAACAAAGACACTTTGTTATAAATTATGAGAAATAGCCTACAGTGTATTTGGAAATTTTTAAGGAAAGTATAAATTAAAAGAAAACTTTTTTAACACATTATCAAGGTATATGAGCTCCCAATAATTTAATTAATTCAATTTAATTGCACTAGAAGGAAATAGTGTAATGAATATATTTCAATTAAATTGTAAATTTTGTATAAAGAATTAATAAAATAATAGTAATTATAAAATGATACATTAATTTGTTTATGCAAAATTATATTTTCGTATATGACCAATTATAAAAACAGTTATAAATTACTATAAAAAATTAAAATATGTTAACATGAAGCAATATATACTGTATATAATTTACACTAACAATACAAACTTAAAATTGTTAAATATGTATCACATGTCACCTGTAATAACTTACATAACAGCTATAACTTTAGATACTTAAATAATTACTAATGTTTGCTATAAATAAACATTAACTACTTATATATCAAAGTCTACTGTTGCTGATTATTTTTGTGATTTATTGTATATTTATTTTTATAGTTTATGAATTTTTCACATTTATTTTCTGTATTTCTGATCTTCATCAATATGAAAATTACAATAAATAAATAACAAATACTAAATCAAACAAAATGGTTGATTTTAATATATTTTAAAATTAGTAAAAGTAATTTGATAACTATGAATAGCATTGTTTTTATTGTTTATGTATATGGAATTAGTTTTTTAAAGAATGTGCTGTCATTTGTATTACTTGATACATGTTTCAAGTCTCTGAAAATTCTAATATTAAACTTTTGTTATTTTTTTCTATAATTTGAATTTCAAAATAGAAAAAAATTATTTAAAGCCAAAATAATTTTTATTTTATTTTGATAGTCAAATTATTTAAAGAAATTTTTTAAAATTTTTAAATGAATATTTAACTTTAACATTCTAAATAAAGGATTTAAAAAAATTAATTCTTATAAAGATCATCTTGTTTATTTAATTAATTTTTACTGCTTTTCTTTATTTTTAATCTCAACTATTGTTTTTCATAGCATGGAAAAAATACAAATGTATATTCTGTCTCATGGAATCAAAAAGATGCCAGAAAAATTGCTTCTGGGGGAGCTGACAAATGTTGGTAAAGAGACAAAAAATAATTCTTTTTAATAAAATTAATAGAAAGTTAATATTTAAACAACTAATACTGTTTTAAATTATTTTTCATTTTTGTTAACAGCTATTATATTTGATTAAATTATAAAATTTGAATATTTTAGAATTTTAATTAATTAAAACTCATTTTGAATTTATTTATAAATACAGGGTGATTTAGTAAGACCTGACTTAATGCAAACATTTATATTTCTAAAATAAGAATGATGTTAAAAATACAAGAGGCAGAGACATGTATCAGGTTTTTATTATACAACATAAGTAACAATTAAATTTTTATTGCAGATTTGTAATGTTTTTATGTATACATAGAATAAAAACTAATTAAAAATATAAAAATGTTTCTATTATAAGATAATCTTAATTAAACTGTAATTTAAAAAAATTCATTAAATAAAATTTAAACAAGATACTCAATCTGAAAATTCAGTATTTGATAATCTAGTTGGTAATTGAGAATAATAATTCATATAATTACAGAAATCAATAATTACAAAATAGTTAATATGAAATAAACAACTGGAAGATGATACCAAAAATAAAGATGCATTATAAGTCTGGTCTAATCTATTTGAAATCCCCTGTATTCATCTGAAAACATATGTACTAAAAATATTTAATAATATTTTAGTATACTTTTGTAAAATAATTGTATATTATAGAGAATAATTTTGAAGTAATTATTATTCAGTTCATATGACTGCAAAAAGTAAATTACAAATTTTAAACAGAATAAATATTAAATAAACTAGAAATCACTTTGACTATATAGATAAAATTTGAAACAAGAAAATTTTAAAATCCAATAGTTACTTTGTCTTATATATAATTACTGAATGAAAAATAAATTATGATAAGAGTTTTCAAGTTTCCTTCAGAAAGAGAAATGAAATATTGTAAATTTATTATATCTATCTAATATATAGATTTCTGCAAATTTTTACAGATTTAAAATTATATAAGACAAAAATATATTGGTATATTTTGGAGAAAGAAAAACCTGTAATGGAATGAATCTAACTTTCTACAAGCTACAAGCTTGTAGAAAGACTTTCTACAAGCTACAAGCTTGTAGAAAGTCTTTTTCTACAAGCTAGAATTGGATACTAGCTTGTAGAAAAAGACAAAATAGATTTTTAATATTAGTTTTAAAGTCTTTTTTGATTGTGTATTATGTTGATTTGTAAAATTTTTTAGTATATGGAATCTGAATAAAAATGAGTTCATACAAATAGCAATCTGGATAAAAGTGAGATTATACAAATTGAATTTTCTCATTTTTAGTAATTTATTTCAAACATTTTTAAAGTAGATAAAGATAACTTAAACCACAAAAACATTTAGTTCCTGCTGGATTGTAATGTTTTTGTGGTTTAAGTTTCTCATTTTTTATTTATATTTTTATATTGATGTTTGTTAAATCATTTTAGATAAAACATTTTAAATAATATGGAAAAATTTATTAATTTTAATTAAAAAAAAATAAACTGTATGTTATGAATGTTGGACAAATAATTTTAGTTGATAAAATTAATGTTCAAAAGATAAATAAATTGTGAAATTTTTGTTAAATTATTGCTATATTTCTGATATTTACAGCCGGGGCTTTTTTTTTTAATTAGAATGTGCTGATATACCATACCAACAGATAATTTTAAAGATATCTGTGGCTAGTACAGTACATACATATATAATAGTGGTTCTTGCTCACAAAAAACAATTTTATATGTTCAGTTACCATATATGCATACAGCAGTAATTTTTTGAAGACAAGTACTGTATATAACAATCAATTAAGAAATAGATACTTTATGGCTAGTAATATAGGTAAAATTAGTCTCATGATATTAAATTTTACTTTTTCAAACAGTAGCACAACCAGATCCAAAATAAAGAGAGAGACAAGTTAAAATTTAATATGAATCACTACATATTTTAATAAAATTTGCTTTTCATATTTACATAATGGATTATAAAAAATATATGTAAATTACTAGGTTAATAGTTAACTCCACAATTGAATTATTTTTTCTATATTTACCATTTTTATTAACTTTTCATTACAAAGAGGACTCTCCCTGGTTACACAATTGTTCTTATATATCAATTACTTAAAACTTTGTTCTCTTTCATGAAACAAAAACATTATATTTTAATGAGAAAATTAGAAAAATTTTGAGATTCTTTTAAGAAAATTTTAAATACTTTCTATATTACAATAAGTCTATGAAACCAGATAAATCAACTAAATTTATTATCATGATGTAATAAATGAACAAAACAGTAAAGATTTAATATGTAAAAAATTATTTAATAATGGAAATGTTTTCACCTGAATTTAGACTCTCTTAAGCAATTAACAAACTTAAGGGAAGGAATTAGACAAAATTGAATTAGAATTTTTAAAAGTTTAAATTATAACTTGCTAATATTCAAAATGTTATCAAATGTTATCATTTAAATTATAAGATTTCATAAAATTATTTTTGAAAAATGTTTGTAATTTTTATAATTTTCAATTAATAATAAAACAGTTGAATCTATTGCTATTTTTAAAACATATTTAAATATTAGACATTTAATATAAATTTTTGATGATAGAAACATCTTCAAATCAACATTAACATTAAATAATGTAAATAATTATGTAATCATTAGATATTCTAACATAATTTTTCCCATTCTATAGTATGGTGCACCAATCTGATGGATGCTTGCTGTTTACATTTAAACATCCATTACCTGTCTATGGTTGTGATTGGAATCCAAGTAATGAGTAAGATAAATTATAAATTTTATATCAATAGTTATCCTAAACTAGAAAAATTAGTACATATCTTATAATAAAAATTTATTTTGATTCAAATTTTTATGGATTACTTTTATTTTTTCTGATTTTATAAAATGCATTTTTACATATGAGTAATTTTTTATTAATAATAAAGGTAGTACTAATCCTAAATTTAATTAATTCCTTTTTAAGTTAAAATGAATTACCCATATATATCATGATCACACTATTAATTTTATAATTATAGTATGTAATGGGAAATAGTAAAATCTCATTTATATGGCCACTTTGGGATATACAATTTATGACCATATAAGTGTGATAATGATGTGAGAAGCCAGGGGTTAGAGGGTAAAGCTCTAAACCCTTTCTCCAGCGTCGGCCTGGTAAAGACTGCTCAAATGTCACTGGATGGCAGAGTCTGAGTGACAAAGGGGGTGGATAAGCCTAGAGGTGCTGTTCTCCGAAATAAGACAGGGTGACAGGTTAATAAATAAAAATTATCATATTAAATTATTATCTATGCTATACATAATGTCTAGTTTATAAATGCTTGTATGATTAACAAAACTCTTTATTAATTAGATCTAATAAACTAAATGAATGAATACATTAACTCTATGTACAACTACATTCAGGTCTTTGCTTGGATAATACATTGTTAGACATCAACTATTAACTATCTTATATGCTAAAGACCAAGAGAGAGAGTTTACAATTCTAAGTAAAATACCTCAGAGAGAGTGACGATGTCTCATGATCCTGTTTATTTAACGGTCGCAAACTGATCATGAATCTAGTCGAGGTATTGCTGGGCCATCATCAGATTTCATAGGGAAGATGAAAGTTGGGTGGATGGAAACTAGATCTGTTGCTTCTTGGAGAATGTCTGCCTGATTATGGTGAGATGGGTCCACTTATGTCTACTGTTGATGTTTGCCCTGATACTCGGGTGCAAGCCCTTTTTATATTCATTGCATGTGGAAAATAGACTCAGGTGAATTTGATTTAATGTGGTCTGAGTTTGAGCCATGTCCTGGTTTGGTGGATACTAGCTGTCAATGATTTGGTCGAATTATTGATACTTTCTAGTTGTTGTTGTGACTTGTTTTACCTCATAATTTCATTCGTTTTGACAGTTTCCTATCATTAATAATCAAATATTTTGATTAAGGGTTTAAAATAAGTCCAATCATTGTAATGATTGTTGATTCAGGGGGATATTTTATCAGTTTTATCTATCAGAGTGTAGAGAAAAAAAGGAAATGGGGTTTTTCCACTTCATCATCTTCCCACCGCTTGACCTTTCCATTGTTCTGTTCTGATAGATTAGAAACGTCTTATTACTTTAAATAATTAATTAAAAATTCACTGGAATGCCGATCAAAATGAAAGTAGAAAGCTGTCGAAATCTCACAATGACCAAGATCAGGTTAAGACAAAATTGACATACAGAACAGTAATTACAGTACAGTACTAAATCCTGCAAAAGTTTAATACAGATTATAAAAGTAAATAAATAATAATAAATTTACTTAAAGATCATTATCAGGTTCTTAAGATAGAACAGAAAATAACTCTAAAAATACAAAATGATTAAATGATTCAAATCATATTTCATATTGCATGCACAAGGTTTGAATATACAAATTGGTTAATATTTGACATAAAATAAATTTTATTTTTAATTTCATGAAAGTGTGAATACTATATATTGCAAAAGATGTAAAACATTAAACAAGATCAAAAACATTAGTTCAGTTATTAAATTATTTTTTGTTACCAGATTTAGGTGTATTGTACTTTGAGTTATTTATAAGTAGTACACCCTGTTTGTTCCAGTAATTAATGCCTTTTTTTTAGAGAAATTTATTCTATTATATTTAAAGATGAAATGATAATGTATTAGTCCATAAAATCTTATAAGAAAAAATTAAATTTTTACATACAATTTTAAATTAAATATTGTAAATAAATTACATTATTCTTATTACATTTTGACATTTTATCCCATATCATCCAAAATTTTATCCTATATATACATTTCATCCCATAAACAAATTAAAACTGAATAGAAAAATTAGAAAAATTTTGAGATTCTTCAAAGTTCAACAACATGTTTTAGAACATTATTCAACCTCAACTTTTGAATATTCAAACTAAAAAAAACAGAACTGCTTTATTTGGAAAATTTAATTGTGTATATGTAAATTCTCAAAATAAAGCAGTTCTGTTATTTTAGTTTAAACATATTTTAGATTACAAAAATATATTTTAGTTTTGTAAGCATATAATTATTTAATTCAACTAGTAAAATTTAACCTCTAAAATTCTAGTTATCATATTAAATTATTATCTATGCTATAAATAATGTCTAGTTTATAAATGCTTGCTTGATTAACAAAACTCTTTATCAATTAGATCTATTAATATTAAAATAAGAATTAGATATATTCTTTTCTGCATTAAACAGTGTTCTAGTGCTTTAATGCCTTTATTATAGCCTATGTATTTTTCTTATATATTTTTGTATCATAGTAAAATATAATGTTTTTAAAATATTTAATCCTGAATGTGTATCATAGTGTGTATACTATCCCATGCAAAGTATTATTTTTAATATTTTTTTGTTTTGTTTTTCCAGCAACATTGTTCTTAGCATTTCCCATCTAGCAACAATAAACAAGTAGCAAATATTACATGCACATGAAATAGCTTCATTTAGTGATTTGAGCTTGATGTTGAGCTTGACCTCACAAAACTCATAGTTTCTTTTTAATACTCAAAAAAGTTATTTTTTGAAGTTTTAAGTATTTTTCAATTAGTAAATAAAAATGACAACAAAGAGATGTATTTGTTTTTACATCGTTTTTATCGGAATATCCTGTAGGCCGATACACATTTCGGGCATGGTCCCTTCATCCGTCAGCATGACTTCCAGGATTTCTTGTAGGTGGTGTTAATGCATATATATTCTGTTTAAAATTACTTACTCTTGATGTCCATGTTAAAATATGTGCTAGAAGATGTTCAATGTTAAGTCAAGAAACCTTAACTGTTATAGTAGTTTTAATTGTGAATATATTTTAAACTATAATGGTATTTTAACATTAAAACAATTTTAACTGTAAATAAGTAATTTTAAATGGAATGTGTACATGTTAACACCACCTACAAGAAATCCCAGAAGTCATGCCGACGGATGAGGGGCTTATGTCCGAAATGCGTGTCGGCCTATATATAGGCTATTCTGAATAAAGATGATGTAGAAATGCCCAGTATCTATGCATCTAGTTGTGACGATAAAAACAGATAAAAGAAGACATGGTTTCAGAATACACAGATGTATTTGTGTTGATAATGATGAAAACAACAAGTGAATTGCTGTGACATATTGAAGAAAATAACCCTCTCTTCTCAACAGATGAAAAAAATGATTAATCTATTTCTCAAATGGAAAGATCATAAAACAAAAACTGTATGTATGAAATGCAAGAGTAATACCTGTAATGATCATAGCTTTATTAATTGCAGAGCTTTCTGTGAAGATAAAAAAGTTGATGATAAAATATAGAGGCTACAAAATGTTTTATTTTATTTTTGTTTTTTTAGAAATGAATAAATTTTTATTCTCTATTATGTATTTCTTGTGTTTTTTTAGATAAAACAACTTTAACTAAAACATTAACTTTCATAAAACAGAAAAAAATAAATAAATTTTGTAGATCAAAAATAAGCACAAATTCATGTGGAATGAATGACAACATCCAATGCAAAGTATTTTTTCATTTCATTGTTTGACTGAAAATCTTCATTTTTGAGTTTGTTTTTATATAACTAAAGTCATAGGTGCAAGAAATAATACAGTATTTCCAAATGCGCCCTAAATTTTACAGGCTGTTTGGAGTGGTCATACACACACTACACTCAGTGAACATTTTTTAGATAGAGAAATTCAAAGTCACTACCAAAAATTGTTTTTTTATCAAATTTTGTGTATGTGATGTAGGCATAATGTAAGTAACATTTAAAGTATTGTTTTGACCAACTTATAATGAAAAAACAACCTTTGTAATGTTGATGTTTACATAAGGTTTGTTTGTTTACATTAGAGATAAAAAAATAAATTTTTATTTCTTATTGTTTTTGTTTCATTTATTATACTTTAAACTCCTTATTATAACATATCATAAATAAAAATGAATAAATAATTATTTTGGGGAGATAAAAAACCATATTATCACAAGGAACATATCCCACAATTGCATAGTGGTACTCATCCAGGGTTAATTTATTTTTCTAACAATACTGTCTAAAGAACTGGATTAAAAGGAATTTGATTTATAATTTATATAGTATATAATTTTGATAAACTGTTTTTAAAATTACTGGTAATTTTTTGAAAAATTTATTTTATGCACACTGTATTTATCTGATATTTTCTTTCTATTTATTCAAATTTACAAACTGTCTTTCTAGAAATATTTTAGTTACATCATGTGAAGATAAGAATATTAGAATATTTTATGTGTCATCAAATAATAGTTCTCCTTTGAAAATACTTCCAGGTATGACTTTCAAAATAGTTTCAATAAGTAAAAGGTTTTATTATAATAATTATCATGCATTAAATACACTGCATAATATATAATTTCTATTTTAAAATTAATCATTTTGTTATCATTTTGTTTATATATTGATAGTATTCTGTGAACAAATTCAATCTAATTTTCTCAAATGCTTATATTTATCATACATAGTGTTTGAAATACTTGTAGTTTAATACAGCTTTTACTGTATTTATAATGTACATGTATTAAAAACTTCTGTATTTTTATTGCCTAAAACATAAAATAACTCTTTTTGTTTCTAGTCAATAAAATTAAATTTTTCATGAAATAACTTAATAAAAAAATAGATACATCATATTATTTAATATAAATATTTATTTTGATTAAATATATCTATATTTCTAAAACAAAGAATATATATATATAAACAGCAAAAATATCTATTTATTAAAAAAATAATTTTTTGTTAAACGATGATTCTAAATTATTTTCAAGTTTTCTGTGTCCTAAAATTTTCCAGTCAGAAACAAAAGAAAAAAAAAACTGCTTATAGAAGATTAAAGTGTAGCTCAAAAAGTTTTATTACATATAGAATCAATACAGCAGAATGCTGAACAACTTCGACATGTGTGTCTTTTGTGGCATGTATGATTTATAAATGATTCCTCCAAGTGTTCTCCAGCATTTGCAATGTAATTGATTCTCTATCAGTGGCATGCAGTGACATTTGATGATAGGGAAGCTATGCATGCCCTGGATAGAATCATTGGAAGCGCTTTATGATATTTTGGTGTGTAGCATCCACCAGCTAAACTGCCAGAAGTTAGTGCTCTGTAAAGCGCATGTGCGAATGTCTGTAATCCAGCTGCTTTACACCATTTAGATACTTTTGCTGTGGAAGTTCTCCCATATTCGACAATACAGCACTTCCATTGGAAATATGTGTATGTTAAGTTCAATTGTAACATTGTCAGACATGTGTCAGGTGTGTGGATGTCAGCAAGTGTTGATGGACAATCCACAGCTTTGTCACATGTGTCAGGTGGGTGAGGTAATAGTATCCCTAAGAATGCGGGGGAGATTGTCCCGCCTAGAGAGGAAGAAATTGTGAGAGAGGGAAAATTTGTGGGCTTTCCTTGGTGGTGTGTGTCGACTCAGTGTTGTGTGTGGAGGCAGTACTGAAAGGAGGGCTGACCACAGTACTGACCGGGGAGCTAACCAGAGTGGGTAGCTGTGTGGCTGGTCAGGAACCAGTATTGTAATTATCAAATAATTGTCGGGTGCCGGAGTGTTGCTCGATTGTGGAGTGCCAGAGAGTCACTCGCTGATTTGGAGACATTAAAGTGTAATTGTGTTGTTATTGTTTGAAAGGAAGTGTGTACTGTGTTCTTTTAGACTGTGTAAACGGGAACATTTTACACCACCATCATCACAACATCAATTTTATACAACATTTCCATTGGGAATATGTGTATATGAATTTATATTCGAATATACAATAGAAATCTTATCATTGTTTTTCACATGTATAGAAATTTGTAATAAGATACATAATGTGGTTATAATAAAATATTAGTTTTAATTAATTCAAAGTACATTAAAATATGAAAATAATCATGCAATATGTATCTATATTTAGAAAATACACGGGAAGTGGTGCTTCCACAGCTTCCATAGATGGCATGCCACTGTTCTCTATTATCGATTACTTCAATTCTGAGTTTCATTTTATTGAAAGAAATCACAGGACTCTTTTAAACAATGAAGGACATTGTTTAAAAGGAAGAAATCCACATGAGCATGAAGCCATAGAATCAGTCCTCCATATGCTTTACCCAGTATCCAGGAAAATGCATGTCAAGAAATTCTCTGAAAATAAAAATCCAACATGATGATTTTGCTGAAACATCACAGTTGGCTGATGATCTAGCTGGGGTAATAGATCTGATGTAGTATGATGTAGTGATGTAGTAGTAGATAGGTTACTGTTTTTTCCTCAAAGAAAAAGGGCTCCAAAACTTCCAAACATCAAAAGGTGCATCAGGCATTTACTTTTGGATTACCAGCACCTCTTTTAATTTCTTGAATAGGATGAGAGTTTTCTGATCTCTATATTTTGTAGTTATGACAATTTATTCTCTCTAATATGTAAAGCATTGCTTCATTATTAAATTTACTTTTCCAAAAGCAATTTTCATCATTTTTGACTATTAACAAAATGTCTTGGGGAAAAAAGGGAAATTTATCATCTGTCTATAAAGTCTGCATAATCTGCAATTTGTAGGCATAACAACCCTGCAAACTGTCATTTGATGTATACCTAACAGAAAAGAAACTCATCTAGTTGATTTGTAGGCTTCCTTGTTTCAATGAACTGACTGAAAAAAATGCTTTTTCGATTTGATCAACATCTTCCTGTGAAGTACTCATTTCTCCTGCTCCTTTTTGGTGCTGATTACTACCAATCTCTGGAAATGCTTTAACCAATATCAGATAGTATTATCTGAAAGTGAACTTTTCCATTCTGAGTTCTGTAACAACATTGCATTGTGATAACAAATTTTGTTTTGAAAAACCAAAGTGCACATATTCTTTTGAATAGTTGTCATTTTGAAATATGATATCATATTATCTCTAAGCATCAATGCCTGGTTACAGCAAGTTCAGCATTGCCAAATAAAACTTTTTGAGTTACACTTTCAAATTCTGTTAGCAGTTTTATTTTGCTGTTTCAAATTGTAAAATTATAAGACACAGAAGTCTGAACAATAATTTAGAATCCCCCATATTTTGAATCAATGAATAGTAAACAACTTTGAATTGAAAAATAATAATTATTATTACCAAGCTATATTATTTTTATATATAATGATTTGAATATTAAATATAAAAATTTTAATTAAACAATTATTAAAATACTCCATTTAGGACATACAGCAAAAGTTTTTAGAGTAAAATGGGCACCTTTGAAAGAAGGAGTGTTCTGTAGTGGCTCAGATGATTGGTAAATATTTATACGACATACTTTTGATCAATTGTTTTGTTTTATTTTGTTATATATTTTTATTATAGAACTTATTATTTATAAATAGTGTGTACAGACAATAATTATAACGAATGTCTTAAGTTAGGAAACAAATTCAAATGTGAATAATTTAAAATTTTTTTTTTTTTGAGATTTTTAATTATTCACATTTCTGAATTTATATTCTAGAATAGTAATAAAAGATATATTATACAATCAAGATTTAAATTCTATTCCAGAATTAATTATGTCATTGAATTTAAGTATTAGATAGTATCAGTCTATGCAAAATAATGTCATTAATTAACACTATAAATGTGATTTTCGTAACTTCTGTTAAATCATATAAAAATAAAAATCCTAAAGTAGTTAGGAGTTTAAATATCTTTATTTGATAATTTGATAAAGAGACATTTTATTTCATTATTAGATTAAAATAGTTCTAATTTGAACAAATATTTTAAATATTTTAGTGTTTTTATTTTTGACTAATTACTTTAATGGGGTCATATATATCTGAACATATCCATATAAAATTTATTATACAAAATAAATTATTTAATAAATGTAATAATTTATTTCTAATTCATGATATACCTACCACATGACCAATCCAGAAGTTGTTTGGCATATTACTAAAAATATTGGGCTTCAGGATGTTTATATATCTAATTCATGATTTACTAAGTGTAGGAATAATTGAATATCAAGAGATTCTTCAAGATTTCACAGTATAATGTAATTCTTTATTCTATAATCTTACAAAAGGTAATGTTCAAAAGAACAAGCAATCATCTCCCCTAACAAAATCCCTGAGTAAAACAACAATCAGTAAAACGTACTTTAAAAAGTAAAATTACAATTACAATTAGTTAATACAGTTGGGTATTCATAGCACATGGCATGTTTTATTTCATTAATATTTTTAAAAAGTTATATGAATTTTTTTTATGAATTTATGTCAATAATAATTAATTCTTCAAATATATGTTAATTTATATTAAATATTTTTATTCTACAGTACAATAAGAATTTGGGATTATGCTAGTGGAGAAAGTTTGCGCACACTAACAGGGCATAAACATAATGTACGTGGATTACAGTGGCATTCTGAACTTGCAAATATTCTTTTATCAGGTAGTTGGGATTTCACCATAAGAGTTTGGGATATTTCTGATGGAACTTGTTTAAATATAATGGAAGATCATGGTGGTGATGTTTATGGTATGAATTGTTTATAATACAATAATGTTTATATATTGATAGTATTCTGTGAACAAATTNATAACTTTGTTAAACTGGACGTTTTATATAAAGCCTTTTTTATTTCAAACTCCAGTTTTAATAATAATTTATGTAACATATAACAATTTTATTTTATTCTATTTTGAAGTATTTCCTGAATATAAATTTAGATATGTTCCAGTTTAATTTTTATTAATATTGCCATAAAATTAAATGAAACTTTTTAAAATTTGCAAATTAATTATTACATTAATTTACACGAAATTTTATATTATTTACATAAAAATTTTTAAACTACAAAACTTATTTAAATGATTAGTGGTTTTGTTCTTTATATAATCTTATTTTTGATTAAAATCAGATGATGTCAAATTATCAGGCTATAAGGCTAACTTAGCCTTATTACAGCCTGATAATTTGACAGATCATCTGACTTTAAATTATTAAATTAGTAAATATTGAAAAATATAAGTATTATCAAATTAATTTAACTCATTAAATACTTTAGTAAATTTTTAAATCTCTGAAGATGTTCTTCATTTGAATCTTATTTACAGTTATGTTGCAATGTATTTAATCTATATTCTATAAAAGAACTATTTTAAGTCAAGTTCATATAAAACATGTTTGTTATCTTTTTCATTCACAATGAATCACTCATTATTTTTCTCAAATAGAGTTTGTCTTGTTGTCAAACATAGAGAATAAAAATAACAAATTTGTTGTTATTATGATAGAATTTAATAATTGTAATTCTAAAAAATTATAAATGAAGTGTCTGGCAAGTGGCCTATGACAGTTCTTTCGCTCATAAAATGGAATTTACTTAGAAAAGTTAAAATTTGGATTGCTATTTGAAGCAATCTTTATTCTGAACATATGTAAGAAAATACTCAAAAATAATAAGAATAAAATATGTAATGAGTAATTTATATAAGGCTCTCCATTAAAGTTGAATGGGGTTAAATTTAAAAAGTTGGAGATTGTATTATATCAAGATTTATTCTCCATGTAAACTTATAATAAAACCTTATAAAATTATGTAAACAAAGGTTTCCTCACAATCAGATTAAAAAAGCTACTAAATATATATATATTTTTTTCATAATATACAAGATGTTAATGTCCAACTTACTGTAACTTTAAGAGGTAGTAAAGGTCAATGAGATGAGTATTTTTTTCTATCAGGCAACCTAGAGTTAGAAACAAAAATTGGCAAAGCTAATGCCCACAGAAAATTTGGATCATCCCTGACTTCCTCTGGGGATACATAGAGTTTGATGTAAGAAATACCATTAGAAACAAAAAAAGAACTGTCTATCTGCATCATTTCAGTTTTTGATATTGTCAGAGGACATGCACTCTTTGAGTGAGTACAACAAAACAGATTCATTATTGTATTCTGTGTAATAAAGTTGGAATTTGCCACTTCTAACATTTATTGTAAATATGCAGAAAAATATCAATAAAGTTTCGTATACTGTACTATATGTACCTATTACACATTATATCAAAACATATATACAATAGGATGGAAAAAGTAAATGTAGAAGTGCAATGATGGTTGCTTTACTTCTTTGAGTGAGTACTTACTGTAAAATAAATGCTAGTACAATACAGTCTAAAGTTTTATAATCTAAAAAAATGTCATGATTAATTTTGTGGAAAATTATATAGTTGGTACAGAAATAAACAAAGAAACCAAAATTATTTTAAAATTTGGACAAATGTAACTGCAACATATTATTTATCTAATATGCAGACTTTTGATGAATAACAAGACATTTTTTTTTTATAATTTTAGATCTGAAAAATATTTTTGAAAACACATCTTTTAAGAGTTACAGAAAATATTGGTTAAATTTAAGTCTATAATTTTTGATTTATAGAATTATCTAATTAGCTGCATTTTTTGGTTGGAAGATTATTTTTTAACTAAATTTCATTATATAATTTAACTAAACTTTTTTTATAAGTATCCTGGTGATGCAATATAACACAGTTCTTTGGGTCCAAAAATTTGATTGCATTGTATATGAAGCCACATTCTAAGGAGTAACTGTTTCTAGCACATTTATGAACAGCCCATGACATAGGTTGGTGACTATTTATCAATTAACCATTCTTTCTATTCAGAAATTCACTATTATATATTTTGTTTAAATTTTTTTCTGTATGAAGACATCAAAGCTGTGTTTATGCAATGACAGATAAAAAGTACAATTCAGTCGGTCAGTTGCAACTAATAGCTCAGTTCAAAATAAATTGGTGAATTTGCAAAATATTTCAAATTTACCACTTTATTTTGAATTTGCTGTTAATTGCACGTTTAATTCAGTAGTCTTTAATAAGATGAAATAAAAGCAGCAGGATCTAAACAAGTGTCACAAACTATTTAAATTATGTGGGTCCATGCTCTATTATAGCACAATTCAAATAACATAACAAATGAATCAACATTTAGTTTGGCATTGGGATGAAAGAACAAATTTGTTATAAATAGGTAAGTACAGAAGTATAAACATAGGTAGACAATAACTGTGGCTGAGAACTGGATGGAAAAAACTGAGTTGTAGGTGTACTAATGCCTGTCATATGTGTTTGGGTAGATTCATTGTTCTTGGGGCTCAGTAAGACAAGGACAATAATTAACACAATAACGTTAATGTATGGAGTTGGAGTGATAGTTCGCAACATACACAAGAATCATAAGAGTTCATCTTACATCAATTTTCAAGTTATATGATCTCCAGAGGTTTTCGGTAATCCCTTTTCACTCACTGTTTGCAATCCTAGAATCTCATAAATTCTGCATCATCTTGCCAGGTCCATAGTTCACACCACTCTCCTCCTCTCTCTCTCACCACAAATGCTTTAATCCCAGAATCCTTTGCACACACCTCCCTCACCCTCACATCCCTGGGATTTCTTTTCCTTTTTTTCAATGCCACTCGTCCTTCCACTTAGACTGGACAAAGAGTCACCAATACTAAGGTGGTAAGCTACAAAGGAATATTTTTTATTTTTATTGTTATCGTGTACAGGACAAAATTAAAAAATAATAAATTATTCTTGGCTTAGATTATATTGATATTATCATATGAATACAGAATGACATTAATGTCTTAATNAGTAGTAGAAAAGAAGAAAAAATTTCTTTATTTTTTATAAGATCCTCTTGTTTGCATGGCCAATTGAGGTTATATCTATGAGCAATGGTTTTTATTTCTAAACGTTCTGTTTCAAGAGCGATACAGGTAAAAATATAATGTTTGACGCTGTCCGGTTGACCGCATATGGACACACTGATCATTTTGCTTATTCACAAATCGATGTAGATATTACTTCGATACTCAGTAGGAAAAACGAAGGCTTACACAAGTTATCGTGAAACGTCACAGATGTCATGTGACTATATGATCTTTGCCCAATTCGGCTGGCCTCTTCAGGATATTAGTAGAATGCTCTTGTTACATCTTCCTGTTTGAATGATCAGAATAGAGCAATTGTTTGTCTCGTTCGCCTACTGTAATTACAGTAGAACCTCCATTATCCGGACCTCCATTATCCGGATTTTCGATTATCCGGATTGTTTAAAATAAACAAAAATTTTACGAATTTACTGATTTGCACTTGGCAAATTACGACACTGTTTATGTACGTGATGGAATGCATAACTTTTTTTGTTTTAACAACGTCTCACCCATCACAGTGGTCGTAAACTCTTAAATGCTTCAACATCTCGTGATTCTACTGTTCGGCTCTGGTCTTTATTTTCTCTAGCATCTACAATATATTTAAAAATATTAGTTCATAGGCCATGGGATGAAATTTTCAAGCATTTGGGTAAGTTATTAAGAAACAATTAATTTAAAAATTATACACACTAACTTAAAAAGTAATTGTGTACTTTTGATATTTTGTGGACTTTTGAAAAACTCAGATGATAATATGGCAATGCACTTCTAAAAACTTTGATATAATATAATGGTAAAAAATATTAATCATATTCTTTTGTTTAAGCCATAGTTTATTGATTTAACTAGAAGAGTATGATATGACTAATAAGTTCTTATTTTTATGTTAATAAGTAAATTCATGTTTTTGACTTTTCAAAGGATCACTAAAGAGCAAAAAGTCAAATGCTGCATATATCATCAATGAATAAATAAATTCAAAAATAGGATCTTGCAAAAATATAAAATTAAAATATTATTCTATATTTTTTACCTTAAAATAGTTTTCATATTTATTTTTATGTTCTGAAATATAAAATATTTCTTTAAATGTAGTCTTAATTGCAAGATGTTAAGATTTCAATAACTTATTATTATTCTATCATTTTATAAGTATATTTCATCAAAATAAAATTTAAAATAATTAAGATTTGTTCATATACTTAATTATTACTTTTTAATTTTTAAATATTGCATTTAATACTTTTTAGTGTTTTAATATTTACTCATCAACATTTTTAATTTGTAACCAATAAATTATATATAAAGAAAAAAATCTGTTTTATTAGTGTTAATTTAATCTTATTATAATATCTCAATTGTCATTTGGCAGAATTTCTTTAATAATTACAGAATTAGCTTTGTTACATATAAGAGATTACAAATTAATCTGAAAATGCATAATTATTTATTGTGACATCATTGCAATGCCAGGCTGCAATTTTTAATCATCTTTTAATTTAAAAAATTGTATGACTTCCAGTCCTGAGTGGAAATTCATATTTAGTTAATAAGGGTCTCTGGTTCCTAAGCTTTCTATATCTGGTCTTGATTTTCATCTTTTTAACTCCATTCTCAAGATTAATGAAGGACAGACAGCTGAGAGTGAGAATGTATAGATTTATGTAATTGGTCTGCAATTTGAAAATTGCAGCCCCATTACATGGATCTCAGGATTTGTTTAAATGATCAGAAGAGAGAGATGAGGAATTTGCAAGGCCACATTCTTGGGTAAATGAGGCCATTTTGGTAAAAAAATATTCTTAAAATTTTACAATTAACTTTTAATTAAAACCAAGGGATGATCTAGGAGCAAATCTTAGGGAAGATTTTTGTATACTGTTTATTTTACTATACAAATTAAATGTTTTATTACTTTAAAAAGTATTTAAAATAAACTATATAAACTTAAGCAAAACGAAATGACAATAAAATTGAAAATTAATAATATAAACATAAAATATAAACATCAGTTTGAAGAAATAATAAAGCTTGAGCTAGCAAAAAATTTTCATGGCCTATTATCTGTTCTATGAATTTTGTTCAGGAATAAATCTATAAGGATTAATTGCACACTATTATTGATTATTCTAGGAAGAAGAGTTCTTAAGATGTTCTTAAGAATATGAAATTATGAGATCATTTTGAGATGGAAAAGCAGTTCTATCTAAGTTGTCATTGTATTCTTTTTGTTTTGGTCATTACTTAATAATAGTTAAGATTGGTTGAAAATTTTAAAATTAAATCCAATTATGTATGTATGTATGTAAAATTAAATCCAATTATGTATGTATGTACAATTATGTATGTGCTGCAGCCAGGAAATCTGATTGGTCTGCAATTTGAAAAATTGTAGACCTATAAATTCCCACTGTCATACATCTGTCTTTCCTTAATCTTGAGAACGGAGTAAGATAGATGAAATCCAAGACCAGATATGGAAACCTTATGGGCAGGAGGCATCGATTAACTATACATGAATTTCTAATGCAAACTAGAAGTCACATTATTTCAATTCAAATTCTTACCCTGAATAGATGACCAGCATGATTCGATTGCTAAAGGAAAAGTATGATGTACAGGGGCAAGCTATTATTAATTTGAAGGTGGAGAGTATATATTGATATTTTAAATTAAATAAATTAAAAATATGATTAAAAATTGCAGCCTGATATTGTGATGAAGTCACAATAAATAATTGCTAGTTCAGGATAAATATTCATTAACCATAACAAACTGATCAAGTTTTCTGGGTTATCAAATATTTGTTGTTAATATGAATTTGCCAGAATTGCCATGAACAACTTTACATGAACAACTTGGTTCCTAATATATTTTGGGATATAAACACTATACAAAAATATTTTATTATTCTGTAAAAATATAAAATTTCTCCATATTTTTGTAACAAAAATTTTCTTATGTAAAATTATAACTAGCAATTTGTTTTTATTTTTATAGTTAAATGAATGTGATGACTATACAAATGATTTATTTAGTTACTCTTTTAACTAAATAAACAAGTCATCTGTATGGTGACTGACTGCTTCCATGTAATTATGATAGAAATGCTGATATTTAAATTTTTGAAATTTCATAGAATTATAAAATTCCTTTACTTTATAAAAAAAAAGCAATTATATATTATTAATTTCTTAATTAAATTCATAACGGACATTTATTTTTCCAATATTTTGATAAATTGAGAAATGATTAGATATCTGGCTTTTACTAACTCTTTATTATGATTTCATACAAGATAAAATAATTAAAATTTTTGAAAAAAACAAAAATTTAAAATTACAAACACTGTTATGCAATCGATATTAAATGTAATAAAAACATAAAAGACTTAATTCTAGTTGACATTTATTAATTAAGTATTTAGTAATCTAGTTTATTTTCAAGATGTAAAGTTACTTTAATATCTAATTAGAATTAAAATATAATTTTGTTTAACTTAATAAATATAAGTTTTCAATATTTTGTAAAGATAAAGAAGGAAATATCATCAAGGAAATATAAATAAAATCTGCAATGTATCTCAACAAGACTTTAGATCCAAATCATGAGGTTGCATATTTAGCTCAAAAATAGACAAAATACAGTATATGTCAGGACAACAGGCAGGTCAAAAGATCATATGTGACACTTTGGACACTGAGTTAGGATTGCCATTTGCAAAATAACCCATTCTTTAGAATAAAGATATACTTGCACTACTTCTTTCTATATGTCTCCTATAAAAAATTCAATTCTAAATATTGGCCCAAAGAGAGTCTGGAGAGGGTCTGAATGTTGCTGTCTAGGTCAAAGGTTGCTGTCTAGGTCTGAATGTTGCCTTTGACGATTGATGACTAGTAAGTCATCAATCATCCCAGGGTTCACTTTGTCTGGTAGAACTTCAGATCAGATAGGAACTTGGGATTGGTTGAGGTGTTTGTCCACGTCAATAGCTTGAGAAGCACAACTCAAGGAACTTAAATTTTTAATATGGCTGGAGAATATCTTGAGAAATCATCAAGGAAGGCCAGATCTGAATCGATAACTTTTTACAGTTTAAAATTTCAGGAATGAAACTTGAATCTTGGGGAAGAACAACATGTCTTAGAGAAAAGATTTGGATCTTGGAGAAGAAAGGTTTTTCTCTCCAATCCCCATTCCAATTGATTCATGATATCCCTCATTACTTTCCAATTGGTCCATCCTTATCTCCAGGTGACAATTCTAGACCTTTCAGGCTGCAGGAGAGGTTGACACTGATATTCAACCTGATGCTAATTAGATAGCATTTATCGAACTTTGAAACCTTCTCTCTTAACTGAAGCCTTTTATGTTTATCTTTATCACTTCAAGAATTTATATTAATAATTGTCTCTGTGAGACACTAATTAAATAAATTAATTAAATAAATTGTTTTGCTATGTTGTTGTTGTTTAATTTTATGTCGGTTTTTTTTTATTCAAAAGGTAAGTGTTTAACTGCCCTGTCAAACACTCATTAGCATTCTAGCACATAGTTTTGAATTCAGTCCTCACAAAACCACAAATTATTTTTCTTTGAATCTTTTTGAATAAAATTGATAACAGACATCACATAGGAGATGTTTTCCACACTTGATTCTGTAAAATGCTATTTCAATACAAACCAGTGGCGTGCCGTCATTGGAAGTGGTGGATGCACCACTTCCCTTGTATTTTCTAAAAAGTAAATACATATTAATTTTAATTATATGAAAATAATTGTACAATATTTTATTATAACCGCATCATGTATTATATTACAAATTTCTATACTACACATGAAAAAAAAAGATAAGATTGCCATTGTATATTCGAATATTAATGGCAGAGTGGAAGCGCTGTATTGTCAGCATCCAAAAAAGCCAGATTCGCGCATGCGCTTTACAGAGCATCAACCTCACCTGGTTTAGCTGGTGGAAGCCTAAGACCTTTGGGTGGATGCTACATGTATACTGCATCCAATTCTATCCAGGACCAGTTCTGGGCTATAGGCCATTGGGCACCGCCTGCTAGATATTTGGCCGCCCTCACCCGATTACGTGAATCGCGAGTAGATTTATAACTTAACCCAACCGATAAGAATTTACTGGTATGTTTTTAGGATAGTTCTGTATAGTTGACAGGAGTTTTAAAAATCCACTAAAATATTCGATATTTTTATTCCTCTCTTCGATTTTATATTACTCACGGATTTAAATGTTAAATCAGTGATATTACAATTTCATATATCCCATCTCTAAGGGGATGTAGAAAAAACCATGTACAATTCTTGTATAATGTTAAAAAAAATTAACTGTTACTTTGGCAGCATCATTTAAAACTAAATTTAATGAATGAGAGAGATGCATGAGGTACAGAAAAAGCTCTAGAATTTATTTTCCTTAAATTTACGATTTATGTATCAGTTGTCATAAAAATTTGTCTTTCCACTTTTTTCCCTGAGACTACAAATATTCGAGTACAAAGTAACCAGTTTCGACTTATTTCTACTTAGGAAGTAGTTAAATAATTAAGTGATAGGGAATTGGGGATATAAACAAAATCCTGATGAAAGAGCCAAAATTTTACTCAAACAAAAGCTTAACCGAACCATCTCCCGAGTACAGTGGAGACTGATTTCTTCAGTATTATTAATGTAATAAAGACAGAAATTTTTCCAGTTCAGTGAGAGTGATCAAAAATTTTGGAAATTTCTGAGGACACTTGGTCCTAAAACGAATTAGTTAGAAAACAAATGACTATTAAGTTTAACATATTTAGATTTTTACAGCTATGGTGAGAAATGTTTAAAATCTACAACAGCCCTGTCTTTTGGGACAGTGGCGTAGAGTGGGTGTCAGCCGCCCGGGGCAAAGGAAAATTTCACCACCCCCTTATTTAGGTATCTCAATTTAAAAGACTAAAATTCAGTTTCGTCACAGAATAAGCAATGAAAAATTCCATGCTAGTGTTGCCACCTTTTTAATATTGCTGACCCGTGAGGTTTGTTCGAACAGAAGTTCCTGACGCATGCGTAATGTCATTTTGCAATGCGAAGAATAATGTGCAGTGCATGCTGGTTCTAAATCAGTTACAGTTAGGAGCTAGGGAGACTTGGGTAGGAGTAGCATAAGTAACCTAGATGACTTAGCTCTATTGGATATTGGAGATGTGTATGAATACAAATCATACAAGCAAAAAAAAAAAAACAGGTCGACAGGTTGCGCATGATATTCCCGTACAAAATTAATAGTTCACCCAGACAGTGAGTCGATTCCCAGACTGTCCAGGTGAAAACCGAACAGGTGGTAACATTATTCCGTGCTCATTACAATCAGTCCGAATCGTAGGTGCCACGAAAATATGAAATAAAATGGTTCAAATTTTTACAAGATATTATTATTATTTATTGTGACATTTTGCTGCCTCCTAAAAGTGCCATCCAGGGCGGGCCGCCCCCACTACGCTACACCACTGCTTTGAGATATACTAGTGATGTGACAAAAGAGGTATTTGACATTGACTGGTATCGGCACCCTGGGGATTTGGCAGTCCGCGTGTATGCACGCTCTGCAACCGTCTTCGATTCTGTCCATTAGCCACTTGTAGGGAGCTATTTGACTAAGTGCATTGTTTTAAGATTTAAAAAGTAAAGAATATTTTATATTTTTATGTACGTTTCTTTACAAAGCTATATTTAATTAAAATTTTCTTTAAAAGTATATTCATACAATTGAAGAATATTTTGTACCAGGTATGTACCGGTACATCCACCACACATTTTATTTCACCAAGTAAATTTTTATTATTTTATTTTTAATTGTAGCCCTTATATCGTGGCTAGCGATTCGGAATATAATTGTGATATTAAAAATGCATTTAGAAAAGTCTACAGTTTTTACTGGCTTATTGAATAAATGATACGAATGGATCCTAGACCATCACTGATGCACAATTGACTGATTGCCCTGGATGTCGGCTTCTTACAGAAACACAGCTTCCCTATCATCAAATGTCACAGCATGCCACTGATACAAACTCATATCTTCCAACAAATATAGTACATACAAATATATCTTTTGTAGTAACAATTACAAATGTTGTGATTTCTTAAAAAACATCCATCCTTTCTGCTCCACTTTGTATATTCTCTATTATTTAAATCTCATATTTTCCTTATATAAATAAGAAAAAAGATAATAATTTGTAATTAAAAAATATTTTAATTTACTTTAACATCTAAAAGTATTTAATATATTTTATACATATTTGAAAATTTTTATTTTCAGAGAAAAGTGAAGACTTTCCTATTGAATTACTATGTGGTCAAGCTTCAAAACAATTGAAATCAAATTATAAATTTCAAAAGAAGCAATATAAAAAAGCAATTAAAATGTTCTCAAATTTGTTATGTGTAGGTATTGTGATTTTATTTTATAATATAATTTGTGACTTACATTAGATTATCAGTTTGATTAAATTAATTTATTGACTTATGGAATTTCCTTTATTCAGGAATATACAAATGAAATAAAAATAATTATAATTATGTTAACAAAGAAAGATTTAACATGTTAGAAGAAAATTTGCAGGTTTTACAGAGCAATAAATGTAGGAACACAATTCATTTAATTTCTAAATGGGTTTAACATATATTTTGACAGAAGAGGATTAATACTGATCCATCTTGCTTAAAAAAGAGCTCAACAAAATATATATATTGAAATAGAATTGTTTTACTAAGACATTTATAGCAGTTGCTATCAGAAAGAAAGCTGGATCCAAAGTACTTTATCTTAAATTCTTGAACTTCTTTATTTTAAAATGAGGTGAAAAAGCAAATTAACATTTTTACAAAAAATGCAAGGATAAACTGTAAAAATTCATTTTCATTGGCATGTTAAAATGCCAAACATTTATATTTGCTAACTATTTCTAGTTGATGGTTTTCTTTTCAATGATATTTCTATCAGTTTTAATTAGACATTGGCCAAAGTTGTGAGAACTTTTTAGTTCTCACAACTTTGGCCAATGTCTAATTAAAACTGATCAGTCAATCCAGTTCAGTCTAGATAAATTAATTTAAATTTGCTGCTTCAATAAACTTATACAAAAACAGTTTTAAGGTCCAAGAAATGAAATTCCTACATCACTATCAGCAAGTTGAGAAAGAAGCCCAATAACAGAAGAGAATCCTCAATCCCCAGTAAAATTTCAAGTAGAACCTGGTCTTTTTATTGGAATTCAAAATGGAAAAATTAAAGTCAGAGACTACAATATTTTCATGATCTCTTCTGATCTCTGAAGGTAGTGTGTGCCCTCACCAGTTTGATCAGAGCTAGCTGAATGAATGTTCTCTTAATATTTTTTGAAAATTTTTTCCTTTACTCCATCTAACAAGTATGTGTCTGAAAGGATTGTATAAACAGAAGTGGAAATTCTGATCTTGATTCTTGCCATCACAATTCTTGAGTTGGATGAGCAATGAGCTGTAAATTCAATCTAATTCAAATATAGCATAGCAGTGTTTCTCAAACTTCTTGCTCACGTGACCCAATATATTTGTTTATAATGGTTCTGTAACTCAAATGTTTATAATATAAATTTTTTTTAAAACCTGGTAAACTGGAGTCACCATATATCATACAATGAAATAAAACTATGCATTGTTAATAATAACCTCTATGTGTGAAATGTAACATTAAGTACATTTCTATTAAGAGCAGTTGGGCCAATTTTGATTTGTAACAACTTCAATTTCAGTTTTATTAAAATTTAACTATTAAAAAATGTAAGACTGATGATTGTAAATAAAACAGACTGATTAATGAACCTTTTTCTAAAATGTACTTTTCAGATTGTAAGATTTTTCAATTTCATTTTGTATCTTGTATATACACAAAAAAATTTTCTTAATTATTTATTGATCCACTAGTGCCAAAATTCATCCATTATACATTTTTTATAATTTATTGTGATGTATGACAATAAACCTAAAACTTTGAATAAACAAGAAATAATTTCAAAATAGAAAAGAGAAATCACAATTTCATATGTACATTTTCTATAATCTTGGTTTATTACCAAATGACAATAATAATTATAAGAAAATAGTTGTTAAATTTTCAGTATTTTAACAGATGTCTCTGTTGTTCCTAGTTCTTAGAGAGTATTTCAGTAATACAAGTATTATAAGTATTTCTGCAGAGGATAGTATTATTCTGCAACCCATTAAAATTTTAATGAGACCTAATATTGGGTCAGTTTGAGAAATGCTGTAATAGAATGTTTACTATAAGCTAAAATTAATTAATTCATATAGTTTTTCCTCTGGGCAATACTGACTACATGACTTGTGATATATAAGTTAATTCAATCAATATTGTATGTAATTATTGAATATTTCAACTACTTAACAGTATAAATAAATATAATCAATTAATCCTTACTTATATAATTGAAAGTTTTCATTTTTATTTCTGATTTTATAAAACATAATTTTAATTTATGAAATTTTTATTTAGCCATCCCTTGGTGTGAGTAATATATGGGATTTAGTCATAGTTCTTCAAGACAAGGATACCAATGAATTATCAGAAACATATGGAAAAGGAATAATTCATCATAAACAATTACTAAAATATCGATCTGTGAGTAATTCTTATATTCTATTCTTTTCTATAGATCTATTCTTAAGTCAATACTATTGTAGAAATTATTACAGTAGAGCATCGATTATTCGACCCCCGATTAACCGTCACATCGGTTAACTGACTGTTCTAGTTGGTACATTTCAAATGTCCGCTAGTGATGTGGCTTTCCAATATTTGGCTATGTCTTGGCTACTTTAATATTATTTTTGTTAAATATTTGCGTGTTTTAGCTGGCATCAACGGATCGACCATTGAAGGGAGGCCAATATTTAAACGAGACTTAATTTTCTAATTATGAGTGGTTGTTTGTTTTGTGAGCAATAAAATAATTTTTAATGATACAATAGCGACGATTATTATTTTAAAAAAAAATTTGTTAGGCTAAACATCGATGAAAATTCAATGTGAAGTTGGTTAATAGCGATATACTAATAAACTAATTACATGGAATATACTAATATCCTAATATACTATACTAATAATGTATTTTTTTCCTTCTTTTCGGTTATCTGATTTTTCAGTTATCCGACTAACCTGAGTCCTCAATTGAGTTGGATAATCGATGCTCTACTGTATATAATTTGCTTGTTCGAAAATATTTGCTAAATTTTATATATGTATATGATGATAAACATAAAAAAGTTGAATACCTATTTATCATTTTAAATAATCTCTACTATATTTCTTTGAATCTAAAATATCGAATTCCAACATAAATTTTAAGAACTTTTTTTATGTAAAGTAAAATGTTTACATAATCAGCAGAAAGAATAGTCATGATGAAAGTATTGCAAAAGTGGAAGTTAAAGACAGCCATGGATGGTTTATTTGGTTTTTGAGACAAGGGTAATTTCAAAGCTTGAGAGTACTCTTGGTGTGGTTTCATTAACTACATTGTACTTACTTTTCAAATTTATATACACTGTGTACTTATCATATCATTCTTGTTTTTACTACTTATTAGTATTATTTGATATGATTTAGTAAGTTAATTTTGGGTCCAAGAACACTCAAAAATTTTCCCCATATAAATTAATGGCAATTGCTTCTTTGTTCTATGCCATTTTGGCTTACAAAAAGTTTCACAGGAGTTTCACAATGTTCTAATGTAAGTGGAACATATATTATTTAAATTAAAATTAAAAACCATTATGAGCGTGCTACAAAATTCAATTATGCTAGATGTTGTAACATCATGCAGCACATGTGTGGATATAGACCCATGTTAAAGGTGTGATAGCAGATGTATATCACTATTTAATCGTTTATATAGGGTAACCCACACATTGGGCAGGTCAAGTGTGGGAGTGTTGCATGACTCCAAGGTTGTTATAAGGAGAGATTCCCATATAAACATGAGTTTCCAGTTGCTGCAGAATCTGATTAGTGCTGTTTGAACCCGTAGCATGTTGTAGTTCTGTTTGAGCACTTTTTTTGCAAGCTCTGTGGTATGCATCCCAACAGATTCTTTCCAGCCTTCATGATATGTTGATCTGCTATCGTGTTCTTATTACCATCAACACAAGCACTTTTAAATATTGAGTTAAACACCATCAGTTTGGCTGTAAGTACTGCTGGTTTTTCACATACTAACTTCACACATGTGCTTAACATGGTTAGGGAGTCTATTTCCCAACACAACACTATGTAACAAGAGGGAGGTGCCAATGGTGCAACTGCCATTATCGTACCTTGGACCCCTTTCCATATGCACTTGCTGTATATTTAGGCAACATAATTTTTTCTGCCCCTATCTCTGCTACTGAATTTGCACAGACTCATCTGCAATGATCAGGATAAATTCTCCATCTTTGAAAAATTGGGAATCTATTCTGTACCATTGGAGAATCCAGTAATGGAGATAAACACGAATACATTGGGACCACATCATGAATGCTTGCTAGCCACCAATCTGAACACCAGGACAACATGGTGAAAGGAAACCATGGAGCTTGCAAAAAAGGTACTCGAACAGAACTACAACCCATTATGGTCTCAACCAAGGCTACTCTTAGATGCTGCAGCAACTGGAAACTCATGTTTATATGGGAATCTCTCCTTATAACAACGTTAGTCATGCAATACTTCCACACTTGACCTGCCCAATGTGTGGGTTACCCTACATAAACGGTTAAATAGTGATATACATCTGCTATCACACCTTTAACATGGGTCTGTATCCACACATGCTCTGCATGATGTTACAACATCTATCGTAATCAAACTTTGTAGCATGCTCATAATGGTTTTTTATTTTAATTTAAATAATATGTGTTTCACTTACATTAGAACATTGTATTCTATTTTTAAATTTTTATTTGCCTGATGATGCACATAAGTTTGCTGAAAGCGTTATTGGAAATAAAAAACTGTTAACACCATACTCAGCCTGTCTTTATTTCCTCTTATCTGATACTTGGCATGAAGATCAAGCTATATTGTAGAAATGTTCTAATAGCAAACTAAAACATAATTTAGTCTACTATGTTAAATATACATATTTTATTTTTATTTTTCCTGAATAACTAAGAAATTCATTATATTAAAACAAGCAAAGTTTTTCATATACTGAATCAAAGAATAAACTAATTTTGAATTTTGTAAATCTTTATATTGAAAAGTTGTTGACACAGATTAATATAGTTATTTATTTATTATTATTATTTATTAATCTTTCAATTAGTATGTAATGACTAAAATATATCAAATCAAACATCTTTACTATACCCGATACGATTAAGATAGCTTTAAAATATATCAAAATATATTAGAGGAAATGTTGGTAAAGAATTACATTTTCTTAGTCAGAAGCTCAAGAAACTGAATTAATTAAAATGACTCAGTTTGGAACTGGGGGTATTGGAGTTCCTACAAGAGAAGAATGTCTTCGAAATGCAGCCAAGAAGCATTTGTTAACAGGGAATTTGAAACGCTACTGTGAATTAAAGATTGATTTAGGAGAGGTAAATAGTTATCAAATTTTAAAATTAAGTTACTAATCAATTTTAAAACTAAATTTTATTTTCACAATAAAAAATTAAACTTAATAGAAAAATTATTTTTTGAATCAATCAATTAATTAAATTACGATAACAAATGCTTTAAAAAATTACATTTTTGCATACTAGTTTAATGATAAAAATTATCATATTATATAAGTTATGTTATATATAAATTTTGATTAGTTAAAAATTTTGAATAATAATTTTTTGGAATTTAGTGGAAGGATGCATTAGCTGTAGCACCTGGAGTGTCACTCAATTATTGGACTTCTGTTGCCACCAGGTCAGTTTAGGATGATATTAATTCTTCTTTTTACTTAAAATTTTCAACTGATTTTATTTCTAACAGCAAAATAACAGATTTCATATGAGAATTGTTTGGTTTTTTATACATATAAATATTAACATCTCAATAAATATTTTTGTTAGTGAATAGCAATCAAGAGCAAACATAATCAAAACATATCATTCTACAATGCTTATAACATTTTAACAAAATTTTATGTATTATAACAAAATTCTATGTAGAGAAGAGTGAGATACTTGTAATGGAAATGAAAAAAAGATTGGAGAGACAAAGGAATTATGTAATGCAAAGAACTCAAAAGGATTGGTCTTTTAAGTAGAATCTGGAAAGTGTAATAATGAGAGTGGGCAAGTTAGGCAAGTTATGAATGAGATCACCTGGAAAGATAAATTTACATAGCCCTTTTATATAAGAGTGCATATATATATATATATATATGTGTGTGTGTGTGAGAACCGAGGGGCAGAGTGACCCCACTTACTGGCGGCTCTTGTCAGGCGATGGCTTAGGAGGGCTATAAGTGAGTGGGGAGGTCGATGAGTAAGTTGACAGGCTCCCAAATAAGTACACAGGTTCAACAAATATAACATATTTAATAAACAATTTAAATAATGCAAACAAGCATAAAACAAATAAACATAATAAAACAAGCAAATGCAAAAGCTAATAGCTACCCCAAATGGGAATGATCAAAAATTTTAGTTTGCGACAATTCTGTCAGTAGACAGTCTAAAGTCCAACTACGTCTAACAGAGAGAGACCTGAGAGAGAGATAAAAATTTTCTGTGTTGCCTCCTGGTTTCCCGATCTTGTTGTATGGGTCGTTGGTAAAAACGTTCCAGGATCAGCGGAGTTGACCATGGGATATTCTGGCGGGATGGCGACAGACAGAGTGGTGGTATGGGTTTGGTGTCCCCAGTTGATGTTCGCTGTGGGTGTTCACCGTTGATGTCCGCCAGGAGGACTGTGTCTAAGCCCTTTTTATCCTATTTTTGAGGGGTGAGAACTGTCAAATAGTTGATGATTGATAAGGACACCTGTTAGCTGTCCGGATCTAGATCCAGCTGGTACGGAATGTCGCCGATGTATTCTTTGGTCGGATTGTTGACATTGGTCTTCTGAAGATGAAATTTTATGATATAAATTCCTACGAATTTGACAGCTCTCTCCCATTACTTATTTGTATAGTTTACAATATCTTCTCAGATTTGACAACAATCTGTAGATTGTTTATATTAAATATTGTTGACAAGAGATGCAATTATTATCATGTTGTTTTGGTTATTGTGCAGGTGTCTGCAGACATGTGCCACGTGCAGCTAAAGGAGGAGTGAGAAACGCCGCTTATTAGTTTCTTTTAAATGTCTGTTCTTGCCTTGTTGATTTTATCGTTGATCGAATTTATCGATATAGACTGTGACATTTAACCTGAGGAGAGAGTTTCGATCGTTGATTGTAGGCTATCCCTTTGTTCTGTAGAATTACTAAGGTTAGGAGAAGAACAATACTGATTTAAACAATACGAAAAAAGGGGGGCAGAATATCACATATATAATGTGGAGTAAGAAAATGCCCTAGAAGTATGAGAGTGAATTATTTAATTTATGTTACATCCCAATACTTTTGTATGGGTAAGAGACTTTAACCAGAAAGGATAGCTCTAAAATTCAGGCAAGCAAGATGAGATTATTATGGAATGAAAAAGTGAAACATGATTTGATTGAATGACGAAGTAAGAATTTGTGAGAAAGAGTTTATTAAAAAAGATTGCAAAGCAAAGATTAAATGGTATGGATATATGATGAGGATAATGGAGGATAGTTAGGTTTAAGTTGAAAATAAACAATTAAGAGGAAGGTTACAGGAAAGATGGATAGAGTTAAGGGGAGAGGAATATAAAAGAAATGAGGAGTAAGCTTCATATATATAATATATGATTTTGTTTCCATCACATAAACTTAGACTACTATTATGCTTTTTACTTAAGTATAAAAAGCATAATAGTAGTCTAAGTTTATGTGATGGAACTTGACACTTGACCAGCACTTGACCCATTAGTTGTAACTAATGGATCAAGTGCTGGGTGAAAAAAATTATCAGTAAATTTTTTCAGTTTGCCCTTCTAGCCCCTCAATGATTTATTGCTGGTTGTGGGAATAATCAATAAAGATGGCTCAGTTGGTCCAGTTATTCCATCTACAGAGTTTTATTCATCAATGAGCAATTATTTATTGTGACATTGTCACAATGCTGGGCTGAAATTTGAAAAAGTTGTAGACCTATAAATTTCCACTGGCATCTATCCGTCCATCTTCTTTCTTTAATCTCAAGAATGGAGTTAGATAGATGAAATCCAAGACCAGATATGGAAACTTTAGGGGCAGGAGACTCCAATTAACTATATATGCACTTCCAATGTAAACTGGAAGTCATGTTAGTTCAATTCAAAACTTTTCCTATTAATGGTGTTATATAGATGACCAACACAACTTTATTGTTAAAGGAAAAGTATGATGTACAGGGGCAAGTCACTACTAATAATTTGAGGTGGAGAGCATATATTTTAAATTAAGTTAATTAATATGTGTATAAAATTGAAGTCCGGTTTTGCGATGATGTCACAATAAATAATTGCTCATAGATTTATAATTATATTTTTTTAATTTATTTAATTTATTTTTGATAATATGAAACTGTGTTGTGACTCTTCTTTGATTCTTAAACACTATATAGTGTAATAAATTCAAACACTTGACATTCTATCATCTTTATTTAGTTCAGTTGATTCAGTTGAGTTAGTTTATTTAATTTAAAATATATGCTCTCCACCTCAAATTACTAGTCTTTCCTCTGTATATCATACTTTTCCTGTTATCAATAGAGTCATGCCAGTCATCTATCTATTGATAACTTCTTTCAGAGAAAAATTTTTGAATTGAAATAACATGATTTTCAATTAAAATGCCTCAATGTCCTTTTTTTTTACTAAAATATAAATTTTTGACTATAAATTTGTATCTTCTATTATCAGGACTTATTATACTGGCCAGTATAATAAGTCCTGATAATAGAAGATACGAATTAATAGTCAAAAATTTACATTTTAGTAACATGACTTTCATTTTGTATTGGAAGTTTGAATATAGTTAATAGGGGCCTTCTGCTCCTAATCTTACCATATCTGGTCTCAGCTTTCATATGTCTGTCTGTATATATGTCTTTCCTTAATCTTGAGAACAGAGCTAACTCTGTTCTCAAGATTAAGGAAAGACATACATACAGACAGATGACAGTGGAAATTTATAGGTCCACAATATTTTTCAAATTGTAGTCCAGTAATGAAATGATGAATAAAAGAAAATATATATATATATATTATCTGCAGAAAATATATGTATATTCAAAAAATTATATTAAAATTAAATTGAAAAATAAATTGATGCATGTTTGAAGAATTAAACCATTGTTTTATTCATCATTGATGAATAAAACAATGGTTTTTTATACATATAAATACTAACATCTCAATAAATATTTTTGTTAATAAGTAGCAATCACATTGGAAACTGACAAGTGTGTTGGAACATATCTATCAGTTCTCTAGGAAGAAAACTGAAGAAGTTCAATGTGAAAGATAAAATAACACACTTTTCTTTAGATAGAGAGAAACACCCAAAGATGGTCTGTGACTCTAGAAGAAGACACAAGTCCAGAAGTTTAGAAAACAGATGGCAATTCTCTCCTTTTGGGTGAACACTAGGCTGGATGTTTTGAGGAATGAGAGGTGACTCAATGACTCATCAGAAAAAGATATGTCTTGACAGCTTGATGAATAAGTGATGAGTCTCTAAAATTGGTCAAAACTGGAGTATTTTCAGATGAGTTTGTCCAATCAGATTTTTTTATACTTTCTTGAAGTTTCCATAAGGAACAGGGTGACTAAAGAGTAGGATACAGAGATATGTCACTCCTTTAGGAAGTCAACTTAATTTCACAAGAAGATGAAATGCATCATCTTCTCTTTGAAAGTTGTGACTTTAAGCTTAAAATTTTTAACAAAATTTGATAAATCAAAAATCTTTTTCTTTTCTTGATCTTCAACATGTATTTACATTTTATAGAATTTTAAAAAAAATAAATGATTAAAATTTTAAGTCTCAACTTCTATATTATATTCCATACAGAAATTAAAAACAATTTTCTTGTTTAACTGTTGTTGATCATATCTTTGTATTTTCAGCATAATTTCGTCATTGATATTATTATAAATTTAATATGATTTTTTCAAAATTTTTCAAATAGACAGTATCATAATAATCATGTTATATAAATTAATATGAATATGTATCTGTGATTAATATTGATATCTAAAAAATACCAAAAAGTAATAATTTTATATTGTGAAATATTAATAATCCAATTTATGTAATAGGTGGGCTAAAAAATTATTGACAGAAGGAAATGGAGAAGCTATACCTGCTTTACTAGCAACTGGCAATGGCACAGATGTTTTAGAATTTTATCGATCTCAAGGAGAACTTCAGCAAGCTTATTGCATTGCCGCAGCTATTTCTGAAGGAGTTGTGCTAAAAAAGGAAACAAATGACTCCAATTCCTATATTAATTCACCAGGAAATGATTACAATAAGTAAAAATAATTTTATACGTTATTTAATGTAATAGTAAAATATAATCTACAATAATGCTAATTATATTATTTATAATTCATTACTCTGGTACACACTCATTAAACCTTTATCTCCACTACTGCTTACATTTCAGAGTAGTACCAGAGATAAAAGTTCAGTTAGTGTGTACGAAAGTGTTCATAACACCAGTAATCAGATTAGAAGATATTGTGTATTATAATTCATTAATCTAAAAAATAAGACTGTTAATGATAATATTGTATTGAATATTGTATTCATGAAATCTTTGTTAAGGTTGGATGATTTCTAAAAATTTTTTAAATTACATTTAATTTATAGCAAAATAATCCAATGACATGACATATTACAACATCTTTATTTAGATTTAAAATAATAACATTTCTAAACTTCAGATTGATGTTAAAATGTCACATTAATTGATTAAAATTAGAGACAATGTCCTTTGAAACAGTCATCTTTTATTCATTTTCATTTTCCAGAATAAAATCCATAATGATCTGATCTTTTTAGGTTACTTGGTCCCCAAACTTTAAAAAATATTCTCTTAAAACATAAAAATATCTGATTTAAAAATTAAAACCTTTTTCTAAAATTTGAGCAGAGCATTGNTTAACCTATTTCATAACTTTTAATCCTACATTTTATTAAACTTAATTTTTTTTATTTTAAATTAATTCAAATTCATATGTTACAAATTTAAAAAATTATTACAAAAATCACTCAAAATGTTATGATTGAAAAAATTACTGTCTTTATGTTCATATGTTGTTAGCTTGTTCTTTCTAGAAGCATTAGGTTTATTACAATATCAGTTTTTCCCATACTAATGTTTTTCAAATCTGGGAATGCTGGATTATTGAGATAAAAGATGTCAATTTAATTTTTTATTAAATTTAATGTTATATATTTACTGTCTGTAGTACTCATGTATTTAAAAAACAAATATTAACAAATAATAACAAAATTGAAATGTTGCATCTTCATGTAATCACTATAAGCATTACATCAATACTGAATGTGTCTGGTTGTTGCATTACATACTTCAGAAAAATGTCAGCAGCTGTGTCAAAGAAAACTTTTTCTGACTCTGTGGTGTCCTATTCCTTGTCACTTAAATTCTGCACACTTTTGATGATTTCTTTATCTGTTAAAGCCCGATCTATTCCACGATATTCCTCATTCAACCAATTAGTAATGTCCTCTTCATCAACTTCTTCTCTTCCTGGAAGCTTGTACAACATATCAATGAACACAGTGTTCAGAAATGATTCTGAATTGACTACTCACTATCACTCGATGCAGACTCCAACTCAGTGTCAATTGAAGACCATGCTTTTTTCAACACTTCATTATTATAGTACTCTCCACAATATCCTATGCTTCTGCTGTTTGGAAAACAACATCAGGCATGTTGCTGGCTTTCCATGCCTTCAGCATAGCTTCAGAAGAATAGTTTTCACATTCATCCAATAGTAAAGTAAGAATTGCATGCAATAGCAATGCTTAATTGATTCCAAAACTCTAATCCAATCCATAGGTTGGATTAGAGTTGTCACATTTGGTGGGAGAAAGACAGCTTGTATAGGTAGACCTCGGTTTATGCTGGTTCAATTTACGCCAATTCACAATAACGCTGCTGCACAATTTGCGTGTAATTCCTTAATTTTTCCTATGCTAGATTTGACTAGATTTTGTCCACATTTGACCAATCCTAGCGAGACACAAGTCCACTATGACACCATGTGTCGTGGCAGAATTGTGGCTCATTGGGATTGGTCAGATCTAGACCAATAGAGAACGTTCCATGAACAGTTAGATTTGAATGAGCTGTGGATCCGACATAGAGCTACAGAAGAATGACGAAGAAGAAACTCCAAGAATTATGAAAATGGCCAATCTAAAGCATATCCTTTCAACTAAGGAAAGTTTGATGGATGAACTTTGTGAGTTAGACAATGATTGAGAGCAAAGTGCAAATGTAAAAAGGAGTATCATTGCATCCATTCAACCATATTAAGAAATTCTTAATGAAAGAAAACATAAATGTAAACAATTAAAGATGGATACTTTTTTCTGAAAAATGTAAGAGATTCAAAACTAAAATTTTTTAATAAAAACATTTCACTTCATTTTATGATAAAATACATTTAAAAAATAAATTTATATGTATTTTGTATTATATTGTATTAATAAATAAAATTATTTGCTTATTTTTCACTTACGTAGAACCTCACCCTATATCTCACTGTAAATATGGGTTCATTTTACACCAATTCAATTTGTACCAGCTTTTGTAGGAACAGAACTGCGGCGTAAACCGAGGGCTACCTGTATATCACCTAATTTCAGAGACAAGTCAGATAAATGACAAGGAGAATTATCAATTAGGAGGATAGCTTTTAATGGAAGTTTCTTTTTCTTCAGTTCTTCCTTCACAGATGGTACAAATTTATCATGGAACCACAGAAAAAATTCTGAGTCCATTGATGTTTTCTTTTAAGCATGATAATCTACAGGTAGTATTCTCATCTTGCTGTGCTGAAAACATCATGGCTGTTGGGGCTTTTCCAATCACCAGGAAGGTTGACTAGGGGTGAGGTTGTGATTTCCATTGGCATTATAACATGCTACAAAAACAATGCATCAATGTGGGCATAAACAACAAAAACAATGCATCACATTGATGCATTGTTTTTGTTGTTTATATCCACAAGCTTCCTTTTCATCCTTGCAGTAAGATTTTTGAAAAAAGCATTTTGAAAAACAGACCAGTCTCATCAGCATTGTACACTGCAGCAAAAATTAGTTCTTCCAATGTTTTCCATCTTTTTTTTAAACTCTTCTGCATCTTTTTTGTTTGCTAACAGACTTTTCTTATGACTTTCAGCTGTCACACAGCATGTCTTTTCTTCCAGTTTGATAACCAGCCCTTAAGTTGATACAAACAGTTTACTGTTGCCAAGCTATTTGTTAAACACCACTGCTTTTTTTATTACTGGCCCAATAACAGGTAGTCCTTTACTATGTTGTTATATGAACCATTTGTAAACAGCTGTAACAAGTTTATTGTTCTAACCCTTTTGCATAACTTTTCATTTTCCCAACTCACTGCCCATTTGGTTAGCATACCAACAGAGTTGATTCTCTTTCATTTTTATGTCATAAATAATGGCACATCCGATATTGTACTCAGTAGAGATAGATTTTTGGGAACAACCTTTCTTTAACTTCTCTAATATTTCCAATTCCTGCATGAGTTCTAATGTAATATGTTTTCTTTTTGAAGCCATAACTGAAGGTCACCATGCCAAGTCGAACACTTTCTACACTTCTAAATCAAAACTGAAATCTCACACACATGTATGAAGTTTCAGTTTCAATGAGTGGCATCACAATGGATGACCATACACATGATACACTCCATTTATATCAACCAGAGGTTAGATAATTAAGAGGCCAGATTAGCAATAGTCTATTGTATTCTTAGCAGTAGAATAGTTACTACAATCATGTCACAGCTAATAAACTTTAAGCATATGCCATGTTCATAATTTTTACAGCATATATTTGTAATTTTTTTTGTTTTTGAATTTTCTTAATTCATGCATATATAGATTTATGGTGGGAGAAAAAAATCACGTAATTCTACAAGAACACCAATATAAGCCACTACACTTGGAATGGCCATTGGTGAAAAATTTGATCGTTCTATTTTTTTTAAAATTGTTAGCTGGGTGCAGCTCACTACTGGCAGGCTGTAATATATTTACTTGTAGCCTTTTAAAAACTAAGATCAGAAAATCAAAATATTTATTCTTTTAGAACTCTTTTTAGATTATTTTAATCCAACAACAGCACACAAATATAACTTAGTAACAGTTAACAGTAATATATAAAATTACTAGCAGATAAGCCTGGCGTTGCTTGGGCAAAAAGTAACAATAGCAAAGATTAAGATTATTACATTACAGCCAATCTTATCTGTTTTCAAAGAATGCAAGAATTAGGTTCCCCTGTTTACAGACTAATTAGAAAATTTTTAGATGGGTCTAAAATTATGTTCGATTTAATGCAAAAAACCGCATCTGCGCCTGTAAATTGTGCACGTTGTTTTTCTTAACACTTCCATTGTTGAAGCCCTAATCCTGTCACTTTACCCCGGGGGGATTTCAAAAAATCCCTTGTTAGTGTGCATTCTCGTGAGGTACCCTAAAGCCAGATGCACACATGTGGCATGGCAGAATGACGTCACTTTTTCTTGCCGCAGTAGTTGATTTTGTGCCGCTTTTCTCATGCCGCAAAAGTTGGCTGAATTTTATCTTTTGCAGTAACTGCCGCCAAGATGCATTTCTATCAGCTAATAACAGTTCACCTGGTAGTCACATGAGAAAATACAATCATGTGATGTTTTAATGGCAGAAAGTTCAATGCGGTTAACCGAGATAACTAACATCAGAATAAAGAGGAAAGATAACAAATTTAACACAAATTCTACACAAATAATCATATATAATTTAATTCAAAGAACAAAACAACCGAATCTTACTCAAAATAATATTCTTTATTGAAGAATAAGCATATTTTGTACATCAGTTCTTTATCAATCCAAGAAAATATCTCTAATCCAAAATCTTCGTTCGAATCTTTTCCTTGCCGCGCCACATGTGTGCATCCAGCTTAACTGTGTACCAAATTTCAAGTTTCAATTCCTAACCGTGCTGAAATGCTCACGATGAAATGCTTGGTAAATGGCGTACCATCTATCATAGGATAAATATACTATGCCAGAAACCTTCGCGGGAGTATATTAAGCAACTTCCCAAAGTTTCATGGCAATCGGATAAATGGTGTAGTAATGCATGAAGGACAGACAGCCAGACACACATTCATTTTTATATATATAGATATAACAGGCAAGTGGGTAAATTTACATTTGAATTTTAGATTACAATTGAAAAATGAAATATAAAATTAAGCAATTAAAATTTAAAATAATTTAAATTTGTAAAATTTAATGTGTTCTAAAATTCCAATATGAATCATTCTAAATATCAAAATGTAAATTATTCTAAATTGTGTAATTTTATATTCTATTTTGCAAACTGTCCTAAGTTCTATTTCTATACTGATGCTGAACTAAAATAGTACAAAAACATTTCTAAAAGAATATTTTGGTTTCCTGAACTTAGCCAGTTACATTCAAGATATTTGACTATGGTAACAAGGTTTACACAACTCTTTGATGAAAAAGAATGGTTTAGTTTTGAATACTTTTCATTCAAATATTGAATTGTGGTTATACATTGATACAGGTATCTACCAATTTTCACAAATACAAACTCATTCACCTTTGTTTAAAACAATGCATCCCAAACTTATTATGGCCATGGACCCTTTCTCATAACAAAAACCTGACCACAAACCCCCAAGTGAAATAAACTCTATACAACTATATAATAGCAAAATTACAAATTTAACTTTGATGTCTTGAATGATGAATGGTGATGTAAAAATAAAATATAAATAAAGCATTTTGATATTTACAGTAACATTTATTGAAATTACTAACTAAAGCTTGACCTTTTTGAAACGGGTATAATATAGTGAAAAAAATAATANAGAAGAAATGTCTGAGCAATACTTCAATCAAGGTTCTCCAATATATTCTGCTTGTTGTCATCTTGCTGCTGATGATGTCAGGGTATCAAAATCATTTTTTTTCTATTTTTTTATTATTTTTGCCGTTTTGCTAAAAATATTGAAAAAATTTTATTTATTTTATGAATTTCAGTCAGCACTAACAACTTTGATACAAGGAAATGAATTAGAATTGGCTGTAAGTTTAGCAATTACATTTGAGGAATATGGTGCAATGATGAAAACTGCAGTAACACATTTAGCATGGAGATGTGTTAAAAATGGAAACTGGTAAAAATTATTTATAAAAATTTTAATAGTTAATATTTTAATCAAATTCATACTTTATAACACCAACACCAATATGCTAAGTTTCTACTTTTTAATTAATGGTGTAAACATTATACTAATATAGACTAACTGTTTTTGGACATCTTATGACCATCTTCAGAGTTTACAAATGAAAAATAAACACGTAGAATTCCATATCAAATGTGAGAATAAATGGAACATTGCTACAAATTTTAAAATTTGAAAGAAGACACTCAAGCTTCAAAATGTTTGCTTTTCATTCACATAAATTTTCAGTTTTCCTGCTGGCAAGATGTCCTATCCTTCCAAATATTTTGAATTAACTAGCTTTATTGAATTGCACATTGGTTCTAGGTCTCCATGCTGAGTGCTATTTCTTTTACTTAAATATTTGTGTTTCAAGTGTAAACATATATGTCTATTAACTTAATAATAAAAANGTGATAAAAATAATAATAATAATAATTTATTTCTAATTGGGTTATAAGTTACATTACTAAAATATAAAATTAATAAATTTTTTATTTTATCTATTGAATTTTCATAGAAAAACATATTTTTGATCAAAATAAATGATTTAGTTATATATTTTTAATCATTAAGTAGTTTTTATAATTATGAAAAACAATCAATGATTATCATTGGAGAGAAAAATTAAATAAATGTATAAAATTCTATAAACAAACAAAATAAATTCTAAAATGTCATAATGTATGTAATAAATGAAGCACAGAGCCCATTTTCAAAATGGGCAAGCTTTATCTGGTATTCCCACCATGTAATGTTTGTCATTACTTTTATTTTATGTATATTTATTTATACTTACAGTCTGTTTCAAAATTATAAACATACCCATTTTTTTTCAATAACAAAAACATTAACAATTGTAATGTATTTATTATACAGTATTAAAATATCATTTACAACATCAATTTAAACATTTTCTGAAATTTTTACAGCAATCTTACAATTACAAAAAAAAATTATCACATATTTTCAATTTTTGATTGTTTCAAAAGTATAAACACATGTGCACAAAAAAACAATTTGTGATCTTTCAATATTTTGTAGGTCCACCATTTGATTTAATTAGTTCAAATACTCTATCAGGCATACATTTTACTAGTTTTTGAAGTTGTTCTTGTTTAATATTTTCCCAACAATCCATAATAGCTAATTTCAATTCATTTACAGTATTGTATTGTCTGTTTTGGCCATAGGCAAGAGACTCATAATGCCCCAAATATTTTCTATCAGGTTCATATCAGGATAATGATGGCCAATCAATTACAGTAAGTTTTTTTTTCAGCAAACCAATTTTTAGTTGACTTTGATGTATGAATGGCAGCATTATCCAGTTGGAATTGCCAGTTTTCTCCCCCAATAAGTGGTCCAAAAGTTATTAAATTTTGATACAACAGTTCTTGATACTTTTCTGAATTCATTCTATGAATACAATATCCTCCCCATCCAAATCCTGCCCACACCATCACAGATCCTCCACCTTGCTGTCTGCTCAATCTGACTTCTTCGTTCTTCCTCAAATCATGCCAGTAGTGACTATAACTGTCAGGTCCATTCAAATTCCACTTTTTTTCATCTGAAAAGACTGTTTGTTTCCATTCCTCTTTCCATGTCATCTTGTCTTTGGCCCACTTTAATCTAGCTGTTTTGTGCAATTGTGTTAATTTCGGTTTGGCAGTCGTTTTGGTAAATTTGGCATTTTTATGATTATGCATACATCTCCATACAGTTGCTGGGGAAACTGCAATGGGCAATGTTGACGCTGCTTCTCTGACAGACAACTTGTTGACCGTCAGTAGCTGAAAAACCTTTCTTTCGTTTCTAGGTGTAAGGAGTTTAGGCCTTCCACATCACTTATTTCTGCCATAATTTTCACCCTGAGTTAAAACATTTCTCACAGCACATGTAGATCAATTTATAGCTGCTGAAATTTGTCTTAGAGATCGTCCTAATCCTTTTAGTTGGTAAATTTAACGTATTTTCAACTCTGTTAGTGTTTTTCCACGAGGCATTTCTTTAAATCATAAAAAACTGTTTAAAATTGGCGCCACGTTTTTAATAATGAATGATACTCCACTCTGGTGACAACTAATTAAATTAATAATTAATAAAAAAAATTATTATTATAATTTTAGTCACATGTGTTTATACTTTTGAAACACTCAAAAATTGAAAATCTCTGATAATTGTTTTTGTAATTGTCAGATTGCTCTAAAAATTTCAGAAAATCTTTAAACTGATGTTGTAAACAACATACTAATATAATAAATACATTACAATTGTTAATGTTTTTGTTATTGAAAAATGTTGGGTGTGTTTATAATTTTGAAACGGACTGTAATACCACTTAAAATAATTCACATTTTGTATTAAGAATTTTAATAATTTTACTAAACAATACATTATAATCTCATAATAATATTTTTGATGTAATAAGGAAATGTAAGAAAATGTGATTATATGATTGTGTATTATATCGAACATTGTTTAATAAATTAAAATTTAACAGTAAGAATATTGATAATATAATATACAATAATAACATATTGAATAATCTTGGATTCCATGATATATATATTTTTTAAATATTTTTAGGGAATTGGCAATGGATTTATTGAATCTCTCTCCTGATACTGATCTTATCAAAGCACAAATTTGTATTTTCTGTGAATTGTCATTACCCGAACGTAATGAATTATACCAGAAGGTAAACATCTTATTATTCCTGAAAAACATTTACTAATTACTGTCTGTTTATATATTTTTGAGGGAACTGAGAAAAATGTACAAGTGAAACTACTTTTGAATTGCTTTCAGAGTGAATATAATTATCACAAAAGTATGGCATAGCACAAATTAACACTGTACAGTACATTGAATTTATAAGTGTAATTCTTAACAAAAAAGTTTTGATTTAATATATGTACTGCATAATACATTTAAATAACCTAAAAGGAAAAGTAAAAAAGCAGTGTAATGCATAAGTGCTGTAGGGCAGTGGTCCCCAACCCCCGGGCCGCGGACCGGTACCGGTCTGTGGATCAAATGGTACCGGGCCGCCCAAAGAACATTAAATTATTTCCATTTATATTTATATTTTGTATTTGTCTCCGGTTTGTGCGACTTTTAATAGACGACGGAACAGCGGAATAAACTGAACATAAGAAACACACTTCGAGTGTCATTGTCTTCTATTACCCCCAGATGGAACTGTCTCGTTGCAAAGAAACAAGCTCAGGGTTCTCATTGATTTAGCTTTCTAGTGAGTTAAAATGTTAAATCACATTATATTCATTTTTTGGTGTAATTGTATTTTATTTTGAAGGCACGTTTAAATACAGTTAAATTAAAATTATTAAATTAAATCAATGTAAAATATGAACAATCAACGTCCCCCCTCAGTGGGCCGCGGTAAAGTTATCAAACGTTGACCGGTCCGCGGCGATAAAAAGGTTGGGGACCGCTGCT